TGTGTAACGCAGGTCTCCAGTGTTCCTCTCGCTTGTGTAACGCAGGTCTCCAGTGTTCCTCTCGCTTGTGTAACGCAGGTCTCCAGTGTTCCTCTCGCTTGTGTAACGCAGGTCTCCAGTGTTCCTCTCGCTTGTGTAACGCAGGTCTCCAGTGTTCCCCCCCGGTTGTGTAACACAGGTCTCCAGTGTTCCTCCCGCTTGTGTAACGCAGGTCTCCAGTGTTCCTCTCGCTTGTGTAACGCAGGTCTCCAGTGTTCCTCTCGCTTGTGTAACGCAGGTCTCCAGTGTTCCCCCCCGCTTGTGTAACGCAGGTCTCCAGTGTTCCTCCCGCTTGTGTAACGCAGGTCTCCAGTGTTCCCCCCGCTTGTGTAACGCAGGTCTCCAGTGTTCCCCCCCGGTTGTGTAACGCAGGTCTCCAGTGTTCCTCCCGCTTGTGTAACGCAGGTCTCCAGTGTTCCTCTCGCTTGTGTAACGCAGGTCTCCAGTGTTCCCCCCGCTTGTGTAACGCAGGTCTCCAGTGTTCCTCCCGCTTGTGTAACGAAGGTCTCCAGTGTTCCCCCCCGGTTGTGTAACGCAGGTCTCCAGTGTTCCTCTCGCTTGTGTAACGCAGGTCTCCAGTGTTCCTCTCGCTTGTGTAACGCAGGTCTCCAGTGTTCCCCCCCGGTTGTGTAACGCAGGTCTCCAGTGTTCCTCCCGCTTGTGTAACGCAGGTCTCCAGTGTTCCTCTCGCTTGTGTAACGAAGGTCTCCAGTGTTCCCCCCCGCTTGTGTAACGCAGGTCTCCAGTGTTCCTCCCGCTTGTGTAACGCAGGTCTCCAGTGTTCCTCTCGCTTGTGTAACGCAGGTCTCCAGTGTTCCTCTCGCTTGTGTAACGCAGGTCTCCAGTGTTCCTCCCGCTTGTGTAACGAAGGTCTCCAGTGTTCCCCCCCGGTTGTGTAACGCAGGTCTCCAGTGTTCCTCTCGCTTGTGTAACGCAGGTCTCCAGTGTTCCTCTCGCTTGTGTAACGCAGGTCTCCAGTGTTCCCCCCCGCTTGTGTAACGCAGGTCTCCAGTGTTCCTCCCGCTTGTGTAACGCAGGTCTCCAGTGTTCCCCCCGCTTGTGTAACGCAGGTCTCCAGTGTTCCCCCCCGGTTGTGTAACGCAGGTCTCCAGTGTTCCTCCCGCTTGTGTAACGCAGGTCTCCAGTGTTCCTCTCGCTTGTGTAACGCAGGTCTCCAGTGTTCCCCCCGCTTGTGTAACGCAGGTCTCCAGTGTTCCTCCCGCTTGTGTAACGAAGGTCTCCAGTGTTCCCCCCCGGTTGTGTAACGCAGGTCTCCAGTGTTCCTCTCGCTTGTGTAACGCAGGTCTCCAGTGTTCCTCTCGCTTGTGTAACGCAGGTCTCCAGTGTTCCTCCCGCTTGTGTAACGCAGGTCTCCAGTGTTCCTCCCGCTTGTGTAACGAAGGTCTCCAGTGTTCCCCCCCGGTTGTGTAACGCAGGTCTCCAGTGTTCCTCTCGCTTGTGTAACGCAGGTCTCCAGTGTTCCCCCCCGGTTGTGTAACGCAGGTCTCCAGTGTTCCTCCCGCTTGTGTAACGCAGGTCTCCAGTGTTCCTCCCGCTTGTGTAACGCAGGTCTTCAGTTTTCCTCCCGCTTGTGTAACGCAGGTCTCCAGTGTTCCTCCCGCTTTTGTAACGCAGGTCTTCAGTGTTCCTCCCGCTTGTGTAACGCAGGTCTCCAGTGTTCCTCCCGCTTGTGTAACGCAGGTCTCCAGTGTTCCTCCCGCTTGTGTAACGCAGGTCTTCAGTGTTCCTCCCGCTTGTGTAACGCAGGTCTTCAGTGTTCCTCCCGCTTGTGTAACGCAGGTCTCCGGTGTTCCTCCCGCTTTTGTAACGCAGGTCTTCAGTGTTCCTCCCGCTTGTGTAACGCAGGTCTCCAGTGTTCCTCCCGCTTGTGTAACGCAGGTCTCCAGTGTTCCTCTCGCTTGTGTAACGCAGGTCTCCAGTGTTCCTCTCGCTTGTGTAACGCAGGTCTCCAGTGTTCCCCCCCGCTTGTGTAACGCAGGTCTCCAGTGTTCCTCCCGCTTGTGTAACGCAGGTCTCCAGTGTTCCCCCCGCTTGTGTAACGCAGGTCTCCAGTGTTCCCCCCCGGTTGTGTAACGCAGGTCTCCAGTGTTCCTCCCGCTTGTGTAACGCAGGTCTCCAGTGTTCCTCTCGCTTGTGTAACGCAGGTCTCCAGTGTTCCCCCCGCTTGTGTAACGCAGGTCTCCAGTGTTCCTCCCGCTTGTGTAACGAAGGTCTCCAGTGTTCCCCCCCGGTTGTGTAACGCAGGTCTCCAGTGTTCCTCTCGCTTGTGTAACGCAGGTCTCCAGTGTTCCTCTCGCTTGTGTAACGCAGGTCTCCAGTGTTCCCCCCCGGTTGTGTAACGCAGGTCTCCAGTGTTCCTCCCGCTTGTGTAACGCAGGTCTCCAGTGTTCCTCTCGCTTGTGTAACGAAGGTCTCCAGTGTTCCCCCCCGCTTGTGTAACGCAGGTCTCCAGTGTTCCTCCCGCTTGTGTAACGCAGGTCTCCAGTGTTCCTCTCGCTTGTGTAACGCAGGTCTCCAGTGTTCCTCTCGCTTGTGTAACGCAGGTCTCCAGTGTTCCTCCCGCTTGTGTAACGAAGGTCTCCAGTGTTCCCCCCCGGTTGTGTAACGCAGGTCTCCAGTGTTCCTCTCGCTTGTGTAACGCAGGTCTCCAGTGTTCCTCTCGCTTGTGTAACGCAGGTCTCCAGTGTTCCCCCCCGCTTGTGTAACGCAGGTCTCCAGTGTTCCTCCCGCTTGTGTAACGCAGGTCTCCAGTGTTCCCCCCGCTTGTGTAACGCAGGTCTCCAGTGTTCCCCCCCGGTTGTGTAACGCAGGTCTCCAGTGTTCCTCCCGCTTGTGTAACGCAGGTCTCCAGTGTTCCTCTCGCTTGTGTAACGCAGGTCTCCAGTGTTCCCCCCGCTTGTGTAACGCAGGTCTCCAGTGTTCCTCCCGCTTGTGTAACGAAGGTCTCCAGTGTTCCCCCCCGGTTGTGTAACGCAGGTCTCCAGTGTTCCTCTCGCTTGTGTAACGCAGGTCTCCAGTGTTCCTCTCGCTTGTGTAACGCAGGTCTCCAGTGTTCCTCCCGCTTGTGTAACGCAGGTCTCCAGTGTTCCTCCCGCTTGTGTAACGAAGGTCTCCAGTGTTCCCCCCCGGTTGTGTAACGCAGGTCTCCAGTGTTCCTCTCGCTTGTGTAACGCAGGTCTCCAGTGTTCCCCCCCGGTTGTGTAACGCAGGTCTCCAGTGTTCCTCCCGCTTGTGTAACGCAGGTCTCCAGTGTTCCTCCCGCTTGTGTAACGCAGGTCTTCAGTTTTCCTCCCGCTTGTGTAACGCAGGTCTCCAGTGTTCCTCCCGCTTTTGTAACGCAGGTCTTCAGTGTTCCTCCCGCTTGTGTAACGCAGGTCTCCAGTGTTCCTCCCGCTTGTGTAACGCAGGTCTCCAGTGTTCCTCCCGCTTGTGTAACGCAGGTCTTCAGTGTTCCTCCCGCTTGTGTAACGCAGGTCTTCAGTGTTCCTCCCGCTTGTGTAACGCAGGTCTCCGGTGTTCCTCCCGCTTTTGTAACGCAGGTCTTCAGTGTTCCTCCCGCTTGTGTAACGCAGGTCTCCAGTGTTCCTCCCGCTTGTGTAACGCGGGTCTCCAGTGTTCCTCCCGCTTGTGTAACGCATGTCTTCAGTGTTCCCCCCCGCTTGTGTAACGAAGGTCTCCAGTGTTCCCCCCCGGTTGTGTAACGCAAGTCTCCAGTGTTCCCCCCCGCTTGTGTAACGCAGGTCTCCAGTGTTCCTCCCGCTTGTGTAACGCGGGTCTCCAGTGTTCCTCCCGCTTGTGTAACGCATGTCTTCAGTGTTCCCCCCCGCTTGTGTAACGAAGGTCTCCAGTGTTCCCCCCCGGTTGTGTAACGCAAGTCTCCAGTGTTCCCCCCCGCTTGTGTAACGAAGGTCTCCAGTGTTCCTCCCGCTTGTGTAACGCAGGTCTCCAGTGTTCCCCCCCGCTTGTGTAACGAAGGTCTCCAGTGTTCCTCCCGCTTGTGTAATGCAGGTCTCCAGTGTTCCCCCCCGGTTGTGTAACGCAGGTCTCCAGTGTTACTCCCGCTTGTGTAACGCAGGTCTCCAGTGTTCCCCCCCGCTTGTGTAACGAAGGTCTCCAGTGTTCCTCCCGCTTGTGTAACGCAGGTCTCCAGTGTTCCCCCCGCTTGTGTAACGCAGGTCTCCAGTGTTCCTCCCGCTTGTGTAATGCAGGTCTCCAGTGTTCCCCCCCGGTTGTGTAACGCAGGTCTCCAGTGTTACTCCCGCTTGTGTAACGCAGGTCTCCAGTGTTCCCCCCCGCTTGTGTAACGAAGGTCTCCAGTGTTCCTCCCGCTTGTGTAACGCAGGTCTCCAGTGTTCCCCCCCGCTTGTGTAACGCAGGTCTCCAGTGTTCCTCCCGCTTGTGTAACGCAGGTCTCCAGTGTTCCCCCCGGTTGTGTAACGCAGGTCTCCAGTGTTCTCCCCCGGTTGTGTAACGCAAGTCTCCAGTGTTCCTCCCGCTTCTGTAACGCAGGTCTCCAGTGTTCCCCCCGCTTGTGTAACGCAGGTCTCCAGTGTTCCTCCCGCTTGTGTAACGCAGGTCTCCAGTGTTCCCCCCGCTTGTGTAACGCAGGTCTCCAGTGTTCCTCCCGCTTGTGTAACGCAGGTCTCCAGTGTTCCCCCCCGCTTGTGTAACGCAGGTCTCCAGTGTTCCCCCCCGGTTGTGTAACGCAGGTCTCCAGTGTTCTCCCCCGGTTGTGTAACGCAAGTCTCCAGTGTTCCTCTCGCTTGTGCAGATGCCCATAATTTAAAAATACCAAATATTGACAGTTAATATCTTCTTCGTGCTGAAGGGCCTTATGGAGCCGCTGTTGTGTGTGTGTGTCTCAGTGATGTTCAGTGCTAGAGATGCTTAGGTAACTAACGCTGGTCCTGTGTGATCTGATTGTGTGTGTTCACCTGCAGGCGGCCCGCAGAACAGCGACACGGACACACCCGAGGACGCTTCATCACTGGTGAGGCTCACACACACAGGGCATTATCATTCAACAAAGAGCACAAATAATAAACATTTGATGAAAGTGTGAGTGTGTGGGAAGTACTGACAGGAGACTGTATTCACAGGAAGTGTCTCTTAGCAACCACAGGATGTTCATTACTGGAGCAGATATAAACAGACCTGTACACACACTCCTCACTCATGTGACTCACACACACACACAGCATTATCAGTGTGACATTTCCTCTTTCTGTTTCTTCTGATGCGTCGGCCGTCTGAGCTGCTGCTTTCACACGCGTGGGTCACATGACCTCCGTGTTCTGATGCGTGACGCAGGAATGCTTCACCGGTGTGAATGTCAGACGTGTGTAATGAACATGTTTTTTAAAGATGATGTTTATGAAACGAAAGGATGTCACGCAAATGCGCATGTACAAAATGAAAGAACTCAATATTCCAGAGTCATTTAAAAGATTAATTAAAATGAACGAATCATTCATGATTGGCCCTCTTTACTTTAAAGTGAAGTTGAGAAAACATGACTCTGGGAATTTGCCTGTCAAAGTGTTTTAAAAAGTGTTCATTATTCTAAGGTAACAATCATTATAAATCTGTGTTAAATAGGGTACATCTGGATGGGCCATGTGGCATTAAAGTTGTATAATATTTCATGTAAAATATGCAGTATTCATTCATGGGGACATAAAATCCACCAAACTGTAGGAATGACCCAGATATTCCATGTGTCTGTCAATTAACATGAGCTCATCAAAGCTGCAGGTGTAAGAGCTTCTGTAGTCTGTGACGTCACGCTGAGTTTTACTGAGTGTGTTGAAGTGTGTGTGTGCTGTGATTGACAGGAGAGTGTGTGTGTGGAGACGCCCGTGAGAGACGTCTTCTGTCCTCGAGCCGTCGGATCCACTGAACACTTCCGCGGCTCTTATGTGCGAGTGCAGCCCTTCGACCAGACGCTCACTGCTAACCAGCGGTTCCTGCCTCCACAGGTACACACACACACACAACAATCTCACATACACACACACACACACACACACACTCTCTCACACACACTCACACACACAACACTCCCGCGGCTCTTATGTGCGACTGCAGCCCTTCGACCAGACGCTCGCTGCTAACCAGTGGTTCCTGCCTCCACAGGTACACACACACACACACACACACACACACACACACACTCACACACACTCACACACACACACTCACTCACAAAAACACATCAGAAGTGTAGAAATACGAACTGTGTGTGTGTGTGTCTCTCTCAGGTCTCCTTCAACCCCAGACGTCACGTGAGCTTCCACATGGACGAGGAGGAGATTGTGCGCATCAACCCGCGCAAGGACGTGCTGATCCGCGGCTACGAGGACTACCGGCACCCGGATCTGTGGAAGCGTGACCCTGAGCGCGAGGCCCCCGACGAGAAGAGCCCGTACGCCGATGCCCCGGAGCGGCTCAAGCTCACGGTGAAGACACAGCAGCCCGCGGCTAAAGCGTCCCAGCGGCGGCGCGAGGACGGAGAGCGCTCGCGCTGCATCTACTGCCGCGAGGTGTTCAACCGCGAGGACAACCGGCGCGGGCAGTGCCAGGACGCGCCGGACCCCATACGCCAGTGCATACACAGGGTGAGCTGCATGCTGTGTGCCGAGAGCATGCTGTACCACTGCATGTCCGACGCCGAGGGCGACTTCTCCGACCCCTGCTCCTGCGACGCCAGCGACCCGCACTTCTGCCTGCGCTGGCTAGCGCTGCTGGGGCTGGCGGTGCTAGCGCCCTGCATGTGCTGCTACCCGCCGCTGCTAGCCTGCCACCGCTGCGGAGAAGCCTGTCGATGCTGCGGCGGGAAGCACAAGGCTGCCGGCTGAGCGGGACGAGCCCGCGGATTTACACCGGCCCTCGACGGGCGTAGCGCGACTCAGTCCTGTGGAGAGCGTCGACCGCAGGCGTTAGCGGCGGCAGGAGCGTCCTCGCCGCACGGACACGGAGAACACGCTAACACATCGCGTGCAACTATGAAGAAATGATATTGTGTACTTGTACAGTGGTTCTAACACTTGGCTTTTCCGTGAGTTATTAACCGTGCGCTAATGCGCAGATGCGCTAAACATGTTGTTAGCATTAACGACAGCGGTCGCTAAGACTCTTGTTTCACGCGGCTGTAGAATATATTCCAGATGTTTTCTTTTGATTCTGTCAATCATTAATCCAACAGGCACTTATAATCCTGCTCTTGTCCGAGACTTTTAACCGCTGACGGTTTAAAACCCTGGAGAGCCACAGAAAATGGACGTTTATTCTTACTGTGGAATACAAGTGTTTATATTTTACATGCATGTTTAAAAAGTGTTTTCTGTTTTTAAAATCGACCTTGTTTTGACTAATAACCAGATGTTTTTTTGTGCAAAGATGATGTGTTAGTTGACACATGTATTTGAAACGTGTTGTGGGTAAAATCCCGTCACGGTTAACTTTCTATGCAAGTATTTCCATGAGACTCTCTGACCTCCGCACACACAGTCCCGTTCCTCACGTTAGCCGTCGTTCAGGGAAACTTCGCGCGGAAGAACTGTCTATTGTCACTAGCGTATGAAGCACCGCTCACACAGAAGTCACTTTAAAATCAGCTTTCTGTTGGTCTGACAACTTTTGGTGCGTTCAAGTCCTCTTGGGAAGTTCGTATTTACGAGGTGGGAAGTCGTGTTTATGACAGCGTTCAAGTCATTTTCGTCGGAGTCAGATGGCGGTGTACCTTCTCTTGATTAATTACACAAAAATACAGCAAGGTTCTAGTTCTAGAAAATGAAGAACAAAGAAATGTGCATCAGATGTGCTTTGCTTTTTTATATATTTAATTTATGAAGCCACTGCAAATTTTATCATTACATATTATATTGTTATTGTAATGCCATCATAATCTGTGCAGGGAGTTAGCTTACTTCGCTGTAAATAGAAAAGCCTGACAATATGACTGCTAAATACCTTTATTGTGGTATTCGCCATGTTTTCGCTAACTGACACGCCCACACCTCGTAAAGATCGGGTCTTAAAGAAAAGCCCACAGGTGTTCACGAGTCACGACATTGTGGTGGCGTTCATAAATAAATACGATCTTTATGACATGACTTGAACGCACATTTGTTGTCCCTCACGCCGCACGCGGGATTCTGATTGGACTGACAGGATTTCGCCCGCGAAGTTTCCCCTAGCAACGGTAACGCGAGCGCGCGTTTCCATGACGACCCGCTGTAAATACCGAACACTATTCCTGCATTCGTGATCGCTGCTGACGGTACGTGTCGTGGTTTGATTTGACAGCATTATGTACATAGATCACCTGTTAATACTGTTTCACATTGAAAAGTAGTGGAGATGATGATAAATGACGTCCGAGATTTTAATCGAGATTCTCTCTAGTTTTGTATCGCCGAAAGATGGAAGGTTTGTGAAGCTCGTCTTATGAAGCTGCTAGAAACAATCACTAACTGCGTCGCGAGAGTCTCGTTCCTCTGCGGATGACTGTTAAACACGATCTAGTTGTAGTATTTACCCTGAGGCGTCGGGCGGTCTCCACGATCCCGCGGATATGCAACGCTTTCCTCGTGTGACGTCGCGCAACCGTCGCGTTTATGTGACTACCAGTTTAATCACGTGCTGCTATTGTTTTTATTCGTGTTGTTGTTCTCTCTTCATGGAAATATAACTCTGGAATGCATAACCCGCCGTAGGCTCCTGGCGAGATGGTGTCGTTCTCTTGAACTCTTCAGTGTTTCAGTGGTTTATTCTGTGAACTGTAGTTTTCTTCCCCTCCGCAGAAGTGCCTCATCCCCCTCTCCTAACGCTCGGTTCGGTTCGGCTAGCTCCACCTATTGCTATTTCTATTATGGTTTGAAAATACTAAATATATTATGTAATATTTATAGTTCAGTAACTCATGTCATAGTTGTATTTTCTGTATACAGGTGTAGCTTGTTACTTTCATAAATATACTATGTAAATATGCATACAAATGTTTGTAACTGTTTTTATGTTACACCGTACACTTATTACATCAGTTAACATTACTATACACAAATAAAAGGTGAATATAAATAGAACTTTGCGTGTGTGTAGTGTGTGTGTGTGTGTGTGTGTGTAGTGTCTCTTTGTGTGTGTGTGTGTGTTAGAGAGAGAGAGAGAGTCTGACTCTGTGTGAGTGTGTCTGTGTGAATGTTCGAGAGTGTGTGTGTATGTGTGTGTGTGTGTGTGTAGTGTCTCTTTGTGTGTGTGTGTGAGAGAGAGAGAGAGAGAGAGAGAGAGTCTGACTCTGTGTGAGTGTGTCTGTCTGTGTGAATGTTCGAGAGTGTGTGTGTATGTGTGTGTGTAGTGTCTCTTTTTGTGTGTGTGTGTGTGTGTGAGAGAGAGAGTCTGACTCTGTGTGAGTGTGTCTGTCTGTGTGAAATGTTCGAGAGTGTGTGTGTGTATAGTGTCTCTTTGTGTGTGTGTGTGAGAGAGAGTCTGACTCTGTGAGTGTGTCTGTCTGTGATAGTGTGTGTCTGTGTGAATGTTCGAGTGTGTGTGTGTTGAGCTAAAGGATGTCTTCATGTGAGAATGATGTTTAAGTAAAGGAACTGTTTACTGTGTTTCATCATTTCTTCAAACACGTGTTCTGGTGGTTAGCTCACGCCACAGCCGCTTTCGCTTCTTTTAGACACTGCTCTACATTTAGGGCCGTTTAATGTCACGATCCCTTTACAACTGACACGGAAAACTTTCATTTATACGACAACAGCATTGAAGACTCGAACTTTTGAACGAGGCTGACTCCAGCTCCTTTTTCGCCAGCTCCTTATTCGTCGAACTATTCGTTCCACCTTAAAAATGTTGGACGGTTGTTAACCCCTCCCTCTCGGTGCTTTTTGCACAAACAGTTGTATGTGAATTACAAGCCTGTGTGGATCGGGCAGCATTTTTCATTTAACAGTGATTTTCATTTAACAGTGAAAATAAATAGCCTATTCCTGAAAAGATCATCTTGTCTGCCTCTATAAATGGTGTAAGCTATGTGGTAAATTATTATTTTGTAATTACTAAATGTTTTTTTTTAAGTATGGAGAAACGTGACAGTATGTTTCCAACTGAGATTTAATGTAATGTAATTTCTGTTCTTTATTAGAAGTTATCCATTACTCCAGTCTAATATATTGTATGTATGTATGTATATATATGTATGTATAGGCCTATATATATATATATATATATACATACATACCAGAGTTTCCGCTAGAAAAAAATGGTGCCGGTCAAAGTGACCGGCAGAGTTTTCGTTTAACGGACATTTTGATGATATGCCGGTCAAATATCGCCTCTTAATTAGTCAAGTTGAGGAAAACTGGAGGCAGGCTATGTAACTTGAAAAAATGACATAATCAGGCCGTATAGAATGCAATATGTTATTATTAGCCTAACTTTCAAATAGACGGAAAAAACATGAACGTCCGATTGGCGTCAATCAACACCAATTGTTTTTTACACACACATTCACTTTTTGAAACATTGAGGCACGGATGTACCTAATACAAATAAATAACTAGCTAACTAGTTAACATCTCCATTTAACTAGCAGATCATTCATTTAGTTCGCTATGAAATAAAAGATCTAGCGCTAAAATCAGTTGTTTTTTAAATCAAGCTGAGCGCTCGTGTCCGCTGCTATCAGTTGCATGGACGACGCGCTGCGCGAGTTGCGCAATCTTCACTCGGACGCGCGTTTCAATCTATCGCCGTTGCGGAGACTCTACACAGGCGAAGCACTGCTACTTGGGCGCAGAGATATCACGCAACACCTGAAATAAAACTTGCCACAAAGAACCGGCGAAAGTAATGATTATGCATGAAACATTTAAATTGTTGTTAAATTGATAAAGTTGACGATGCATGCTCGCCATCTTCGCAGTAGTGAACGCGCCAGAAATGCACACTTCATATGAATAAATTCTTATTTTATAATCCAGGCAAATTTGTTGATGAAACATTGATTAAAATGAAGATACAATTTATACAAAACGAAATAAACTTAAAAGAAAGGCTTTCTACAAAACAAAACTAAATAAGTGGTCAAAATCATGTCTGACCAATTCCAAATGTTTTCCGATATATAGGCCTATTGGTCATCTTATGATCCTATCTTACTGATCTCATGCGGTTCCCTTTTCATATAGCCTAATCAACAGATGAAATAAAAAAATAATAACATTATATTATTTATAAAAATGAAACGTATATTTAAGTTTTTTAACTTATAATAAGCGTCACACCGCTCCGCTCACATGCTCTGGTGTGTAGTCTAAGGGCCCGTTCACATATCGCGTCTTTTGCGCGCTCAAGTTCATTATTTCAAATGGAGGCGCGCGGTTTGCGTGTGTGCGCATGTGTGCGTGCATGTGGTGGAGGGGTGCGATTTTCAAATAATAATCAACCCAGCGATCTTCGAATATTATTTTTGCTTGAAATTTCGTTTTGTATAAATTGTTTATTAATTTTAATCAATGTTTCATCAACAAATTTGCCTGGATTATTAAATAAGAAGCAAATATAGTGGACAATATAGGCTAATCAGGACACGGAGGCGTCGGCGCGCGCACACTTCTCTCTATAGGCGCGCGCGTTCACTACTGCGAAGATGGCGAGTCTGCATGGTCAACTTTATCAATAATATCAATGGACCTGGCCATATTTGAAACGTCTCACTCAATCGTTCGTTGTTTAGGTCTATATTACAGCCGTTCTAGGCGTGCGCTTTATTTGAAATGCAGCATGCGATGTTGTTTAATAACTTTCAAACGAACGGTAGAGCCTGTTCCTTTAAGCCAAAGGTCGGTGTATTTTTGCTTTATACATTTTAGGCTTATTCTCAAATTCATATTGTGTTAGGGGGGCGGGATTATTACGAAATTTTAATCGGACAATTTGACCGGAGAGATTTAATTTTGTCGGACATTTCATTTTTTTCCCGGCCAATGTCCGGTAATTACCGGACAACGGAAACCCTGATACATACATACATACATACATACATACATACATATATATATATATGTATGTATATAGGTATGTATGTATGTATCTATATATATATCTATATCTATATATATATATATATATATATATATATATATATATATATATATATATATATATATATATACGTGTGTGTGTTTGTGTGTGTGTGTGTGTGTGTGTGTGTGTGTGTGTGTGTGTGTGTGTGTGTGTGTGTGTGTGTGTGTATACTGGACAAAGCATACTGGAGGTGTCATTACTTTATTATTTCACAAGTTCTCAAAAAAACGGGAACGCAGAGGCCTAGATTAATTCATTCTTAACTGAAATCTTGCGTTACAACATTTTCTGATGTGTTGTTATTGAAATATGGTTCCCAGTATATGCCACTCAATGCAGCTTTGTGTGCCGACAAAGCATACTGGAGGTGTCATTACTTTATTATTTCACAAGTTCTCAAAAAAACGGAAACGTAGAGGCATAGATTAATTCATTTTTAAAAGAAATCTTGCATTACAACATTTTCTGATGTTTTATTGTTGAAATATGGTACCCAGAATATGCCCCACCATTGCAACTTTATGTGCCGACATAGCATACTGGAGGTGTCATTACTTTATTATTTCACAGGTTCTCAAAAAAAAAAAACGGAACGTAGAGGTATAGATTAATTCGTTTTTAAATGAAATCTTGCATTACAACGTTTTCTGATGTGTTATTATTGAAATATGGTTCCCAGAATATGCCACTCAATGCAGCGTTGAGTGCCGACAGCATACTGTAGGTGTCATTACTTTATTATTTCACAAGTTCTCAAGAAAACGAGCACGTAGAGGCATAGATTAATTCACTCTTAAACGATATCCTGCATTACAACATTTTCTGATGTGTTATTGTTGAAATATGGTACCCAGAACATGCCCCACCATTGCAACTTTATGTGCCGACATAGCATACTAGAGGTGTCATTACATTATTATTTCACAAGTTCTCAAAAAAACAGGAACGTAGAGGCATAGATTAATTCATTCTTAACTGAAATCTTGCATTACAACATTTTCTGATGTGTTGTTATTGAAATATGGTTCCCAGTGTATGCCACTCAATGCAGCTTTGTGTGCCGACAAAGCATACTGGAGGTGTCATTACTTTATTATTTCACAAGTTCTCAAGAAAACAGGAACGTAGAGGCATAGATTAATTCATTCTTAAACGATATCCTGCATTACAATATTTTCTGATGTGTTATTGTTGAAATATGGTACCCAGAACATGCAAGATAATGTGAAATAATCTGCCGACGAAGCATACTGGAGGTGTCATTACTTTATTATTTCACAAATTCTCAAGACAACGAGCACGTAGAGGTATAGATAAATTAATTCTTAAAGGATATCCTGCATTACAACATTTTCTGATGTGTTATTGTTGTAATATGATACCCGGAAGATGCAACTGTGCGTGCCGACGAAGCAAACTGGAGGTGTCATTACTTTATTTCAAAAGTTCTCAAAAAACCGAGCACGTAGAGGTATAGATGTATCCATTCTTAAACGAAATCTCACATTACAACATTTTCTGATGTTATTGTTGAAATATGGTACCCAGAACATGCAACTGTGTGTGCCGACGAAGCATACTGGAGGTGTCATTACAAATAACACATCAGAAAATGTAATGCAGGATTTCATTTAGGAGTGAATTTATCTATACATCTACGTGCTCGTTTTTATGAGAACTTATGAAATAATAAAGTAATGACACCTCCAGTATGCTTCGTCGGCACATACAGCTGCATGTTCTGGGTACCATATTTCAAACATAACACATCAGAAAATGTTGTAATGCAAGATTTCATTTAGGAATGAATTAATCTATGCCTCTACGTTCCTGTTTTTTTTGAGACCTTGTGAAATAATAAAGTAATGACACCTCTAGTATGCTTTGTCCAGTATACACACACACACACACACACACACACACACACACACACACACACTGTAGTGGCTTTCCTATAAGCCCAGGACAGGTGGTAAGGTGTTCTTCACACATGAAACACTGAACACAGCGATATCCGTTTGAACAGTTGTTTTTGTCCATTTAATGAGATCTTCGAGATATTACATTGCACTGGTTCTATGGTAAGAACCATATCATCATCATTCTTTATTCAGGACATACATATAAAATGGTCCATAGCACTATACAAGATAAAGTACACACAAAAAAATAATTTGTAAACAATGACTACACAGTCAAAATTCCACAATACACACAAAAAAGTGTTCAAATATTGGCATATAGACTAAAGCGCCAGTGATTCCACAAACCCGAAGCGAACCTACCTAACTAACTCGATGCAGGGTTCACTAGTGTTGCGATGATGCTGTTCTGGGACTCTGCTAGTCTACACACACACACACACACACACACACACATCTGTGCATGAGATTCCTGAGTACAGCAGGACACGTAAATACATTAACACTTACACACATATATTCCCGCCACCTGTGGATCATGTGTGTGGATTTCACCTGCACCACTGATGCACACCGCCATCTGGTGGTGGAAAATTACATTTGGCTCCTACACACACACACACACACACACACACACTGGCCCGGCCGCAGAACACCGCTTTTACAGTCGTTTTCGGGGATCCGTGTCGGGATCATTTTGATAACGTAAACCCAAAGGCATCTTTTGCGTTTTTAGCACATCAGTGTCGTGTAAACGTGCCTTACACTGATGTCATCAATCATCATCATCATCATCATCACATTGACCGTCTCCAGACCAGCTCAAAGCCGAAGATCATCTCTGGTCAAACCAGGCATCCAGCGATCACGAGCCCGATTGCAGAAACTTGTGTTTTATTACGAATATTTCACGCCAATTTCACAGGAAGAGACGGTTGTGTTATCTTGAGCATTTACACCAGTTTACATTACTATAGCTAGACATCACATGTTGGCATAAAATAGCCAACACACTAAATGCGAATTTTATGTATCCCCCCAAAATACATTAATCATTTTTTATGCATTTTAATAATTTGATTTAAATAAAACATAAACCTCACTTGTTTCTTTTTCTTTTTTTGCACATTACTTCTATTTCAACTCATTGTAGTTTGAACAGCACAATGCATTTGAACAGTAGCAAAAAGAAACATGTTTTAAATGTTTGGGGGCAATAATGACGAAGATGCTGTGCGTATTGCCACCTAGTGGACACCTCTGCCTCGACATCTGCGCATGCGCTGTTGTGCGCGGAACTTCCTGGTGACGGAGATTAGGCGCGTCCACGGACAGTGCACGCGCAGGCGCCTGAAGTACTTCTTTACAGAACCCACTTTACACTCTAGTTTAGGGTTAAAGTTAGTGAAAGCGAACACACACTCACACACGTGCCTCACATGACTCCTCTTTTGTTTTCCACTGAAAAAATAACATCAAGAGCTCTTGGATGTCTTAAATAATGGCTACATTTCCGTTTTAGCTGAATTATTTCTTATTTAAGGGCTTATCAGTTATGACGTTCAATAATGCCGTTATATTCACTCTTCTGTCTGTGTGATTATATGCTCGAAAACTGAATGCTGGATGTTTATGACAGATTCTGATGAACTGGATTACAACCACGATTACACGGCAGTGGAAACTATAGCCTAGTAACTACGGTATTGTTAGGGATCTCTCAAGCGAGCAAAGTCCAAAGATTACATCCACAAGCCCGTGTGCCGACAGGAACTGTAGTTCTGCTGTGGTTTCTGCCCGGTCCCGGTTCAGTGCCGCACTGCTGCAGGCGCGCGCGTGGGGGATTTAAATGAAACACTAATGCACATTATTGTGATTTATGGTTTTCGTTTAATCAAATGTGAATGTATTTAAGATGGAAAGCGATATTCTCGACATCCTGGATCAGCTCGGGTAAGCAGGAGAGCAATCACACGAGAAATGGGGTTTGTTTTTATGACAATGATCAGAAACTATGATCAAATGATGATGTTTAATGGTCGGATGTATTTATTTGTTGCACGCTGATGAGCAGTTAACGTGTTTTCCTCTGGTATCGTCATAAGTGGTTATAAGTGTTGTGTTTATTGCGAAAAGCAAATTAAAATAAGTAATTAAAGTATAGTTTAAATGTTGCTAATCAATAGAAATAGGGTAGAAATACAAAAAAAGTAGCAATTACCTTTTAATTTGTTTATTAACCCAAAACCATTAGTAATTATCTATGGAAGTATGCATAAACCTGTGATGATTGGCAGGTACGAGGGGCCGCTGTCGGAGGAGGCGGGGCTTCTGGCGGCGTGTGGGCGGGGCTTCAGCTCATCTGAATATGTCAGTCTGGTGACGTGGCTCTCCTGCAGACTCTCACGCGTCACTGATTCACACACACAGGAGTCGCTCATCACAGGTGACACACACACACACACACACACACAGGAGTCGCTCATCACAGGTGACACACACACACACACACACACACAGGAGGCGCTTATCACAGGTGACACACACACACACACACACAGGAGTCGCTCATCACAGGTGACACACACACACACACACACACAGGAGTCGCTTATCACAGGTGACACACACACACACACACAGGAGTCGCTTATCACAGGTGACACACACACACACACACAGGAGTCGCTTATCACAGGTGACACACACACACACACACACAGGAGTCGCTTATCACAGGTGACACACACACACACACACAGGAGTCGCTCATCACAGGTGACACACACACACACACACACAGGAGTCGCTTATCACAGGTGACACACACACACACACACAGGAGTCGCTCATCACAGGTGACACACACACACACACACACAGGAGTCGCTTATCACAGGTGACACACACACACACACACACAGGAGTCGCTTATCACAGGTGACACACACACACACACACAGGAGTCGCTCATCACAGGTGACACACACACACACACACACAGGAGTCGCTCATCACAGGTGACACACACACACACACACAGGAGTCGCTTATCACAGGTGACACACACACACACAGGAGTCGCTCATCACAGGTGACACACACACACACAGGAGTCGCTTATCACAGGTGACACACACACACACACACAGGAGTCGCTTATCACAGGTGACACACACACACACACACACACACACACACACAGGAGTCGCTTATCACAGGTGACACTAGGGTTGCCAACTTTCTGAAATGGAAATAAGGAACGGGGGTGGGGGGGGGGGGGTATGTGGTAGTGACATGCCCCCTGAAATTCATACATTTTATATCATATTATAATGCAACTTATTAGGCCTATATATTTATAGAATAGCACAGTAGGCTTAATCAATATACAAGACTTAACCACACAGATATATAAAGGCTATCATGATCATTTTGCCAAAAATGAACCATGTATTTGTTTAGATTATAATACGTTTTATTTTTAACTTAAACAAATACAACATATAACATTCAAAACTCATCGGCTTAGACTGCATTTGAAGAAAAAGAAACACAACAGTTTTCTGTAGCCTTGTGCGAACTTATTCAATAGAAATAGACTTCTAGAATGTTCTTTCCGGTGCAAATTTTTTATTTATTTTTTTTATAAAAAAAAAAAAAAATGTAGTTGTTTTTCTTATCATAGCCTACAAATGTCTTCGGAAACACATTTTACTCGATTTACTGAAGCCTGTAAAATGCATTTGCAGCTGCACAGCTTGCACATTGAGCGTCTGGCTCGCTCAGGCTGCGGCAACTGCACGTATCCAATGGCGCGGGCGCCTCTGACGTGCGACCAATGCGCCAACTCTACGTCATTACACCGTAGTACGGAGCCCGGGAAGTCACCTGTTGGAAGAAAAAAACAATTTGTGGCGACGGTTTTGCAATCCGTCCGCTCAGTTTATAAACCGTACTCACGAATTCTCAATCTGTTCCCTCGGTTTAACAAATCGTGCTCACGGATTAATAAACCGTACCCACGAGTTCCTAATCCGTGCTCTCAGATTTGTAAACCGTGCCTTCAGTTTCTGCAATCTGTACCCACAAATTCATAAACCGTGCCCACGCTTTCGCAATCCGTTCCCACGGGTTTGTAAACTGTATTCACGGATTTGTGGCCTCTCCCCCAGTCTGTGCCAACCAGGCCTTCTGCGGGATGCATTTATTATGTTTAAACTTAATTCTTTTAATGGATGATTTCTTGAATTTTCTAAAAAACGACATTTACTTGTATCTTTAAAGTCCATTTGTTTAGGAGGAAAAAGCTCAGTATAATAGAATAAGCAAAAAAAGACTTCATATATAAAAATAAATATAACACAAGGTTAGGTTACATAAAAATAAAACATTCATAAATTTTTTTATGATTAAAATATTACTGTCTTCAGTGAACTCATTTATAAACGCAAATGATAATAATATTATTAGCCTGCATAGGCCTACATATTTAGAAGGCGCTTTTATCCAAAAAGGAACACAGCAATTAATCAAATGTCAGTCATAATACAGGTTTGACAATAATAATACAGGGCTAAGATTATCACAAATAAACACAAGATTTTGAGCATGTCCAAGTGTGTGTGGGAGTGTGAGCGCGCACTGCATGGCACGGGGGCGCCAGCGCGAACACTTGCATTTTCTTATCAACAGTGGAAACAACTTTTACTCTATCATTTCTGGTCATACAGAAAAGAATAATACATAATTCGCAACTACTTTTATTTGTCCAAACTCACATTACAAGAAAATGTAATACCCCTTTATTAAACATTTAAAATATTCACAAATTAATATGGGGGAAAAAAATCGATTTTACTGGTTTTCTAAGGCCAAATTAGAACCTGGAAATAAAAATTTTCCCGCAGTGCTGAATGAGAAGAGCCATGTCTCTGGAACCATACAGAGAGATGGTTTATAGGCTAATGCTAATAAATGTGTCTGAAAAAATAACAAGGCATTTTAATTGTTCGTTTAAAAGTGAACATTTCAAGCTTTATATAGGTAGGCTATGCCATATTTTGTTTCAGTTCATTTAGTTCATTCTTATGAGACGCGCTCCAGTTCACGGAGATCATGAAAGCGCGCCTGATTGTTTTATTTTACAAAAGCACAACGTTTTCTTGTGAGTTTGGACAAATAAAAGTAGTTGCAAATGATGTATTATTCTTTTCTGTATGACCAGAAATGATAGATTTCCACTGTTGATAGGAAAATGCAAGTGTTCGCGCTGGCGCCTCCGTGCATATAGTGCGCGCTCCACACTCCCACACACACTTGGATATGCGTCAAAATCTTGTGTTTATTTTTGATAATCTTAGCCCTGTATTATTATTATTGTCAAACCTGTATTTTGACTGACATTTGACGAATTGCTTTGTTCCTTTTTTGGTAAAGCGCCTTCTAAATATGTAGCCTAAATGTAATAGTAATAATATTATTATCATTTGCGTTTATAACTATAAATGAGTTCACTGAAGACAGTAAAATTTTAATCATAAAATAATTTATGAATGTTTTATTTTTATATAACCTAACCTTGTGTTATATTTCTTTTTTATATGTGAAGTATTTGTTTGCTTATTCTATTATACTGAGCTTTTTCCTCCTAAACAAATGGACTTAAAAGATACAAGTAGGCTAACCTAAATTCAAGAAATCATCCATTAAAAGAATTAAGTTTAAACATAATAAATGCATCCCGCAGAAGGCCTGGTTGGCACAGACTGGGGGAGAGGACACAAATCCGTGAATACAGTTTACAAACCCGTGGGAACGGATTGCGAAAGCGTGGGCACGGTTTTTGAATTTGTGGGTACAGATTGCAGAAACTGAAGGCACGGTTTACAAATCTGAGAGCACGGATTAGGAACTCGTGGGTACGGTTTATTAATCCGTGAGCACGATTTGTTAAACCGAGGGAACAGATTGAGAATTGGTGAGTACGGTTTATAAACTGAGCGGACGGATTGCAAAACCGTCGCCACGGATTGTTTTTTTTTTCCAACAGGTGACTTCCCGGGCTCCGTACGTCAGAGCCCGTCAAGGGGGCGCCAAGTCCCCGAATTTGCCATTATAGCAGCGGGTCTTCGTTCATTCATCATAGTCTGTCTGACATATATATTAGAAGCTATGCGTCTGTCATGGATTTGCACTGAATTGATTCTCAAAAATACGGAACAAAGTGCGTTCCGTATCAGTTCAATACGGAACAAGTCTTTTATGTGTCAAATACGGAACGATTCCGTATTATACGGAACGGTTGGCAACCCTAGGTGACACACACACACGAGTCGCTCATCACAGGTGACACACACACACACGAGTCACTCATCACAGGTGACACACACACACACGAGTCACTCATCACAGGTGACACACACACACACGAGTCACTCATCACAGGTGACACACACACACACGAGTCGCTCATCACAGGTGACACACACACACACGAGTCGCTCATCACAGGTGACACACACACACACGAGTCGCTCATCACAGGTGACACACACACACACGAGTCGCTCATCACAGGTGACACACACACACACGGCATAACCCTGTATTACTGAACTGATAAACTGAATCGCAGAATAAATGAGCAGTGTGTGTGTGTGTGTGTGTGTAGAGGACCCCCACAGGTGTGTGAGTGCTCTGCTGAAGGACTGCTGTTGTCCGTATGAGGGACTGGCGTCACGGATCGCGAACGGAGACATCAGAGAGACGAGCGATTACCTGAAGATCCTCTGTGAGTGTTTCACGAGTGTTTCTGTGTGAGAGTGTTTCACGAGTGTGTGTGTGTGAGTGTTTCACAAGTGTGTGTGTGTGGTCTCAGTGTTCGTGGCGTCGGAGCTGCAGGCGGCTGAGATGGAGGCCTGTAAACACTCGAGTGTGTGTGTGGAGAAGGACTCGTCGCTGCAGGAGCTCAGAGTCGTGTGTGAGACGCTTCAGCTGCCGGATCCAGCCGGACCCCACGCCCTCAGTGCCGTCCAGCAGCAGGTGTGTGTGCGCCTCACACACACACACTGATCTCTCACACGCACACACTGACCTCACACACACACACACAAACACACACACACACACACACGGACGGGGATATTCAGCTGAGCGTCTCAGTCGTGTGTGTGTGATGGACGGGGAGCGTCTCAGTCGTGTGTGTGTGATGGACGGGGAGCGTCTCAGTCGTGTGTGTGAGGGGAGATGGTGAACTGTGTGCGGGCGAGAGGACGTGTGCAGCATCATCACTGACACACCACTGATCCTGCGTGACTGACTCTCTTCATGTGTTCATCTGTGGAGTATTAAGAGTTGTGTGTGTGTGCAGGTGACGGCTCTGCTGACGCAGCTTCCACACACACACCTCGGGGATCCTGCGTTCAAGAGCTCGCTTCGTCCCGACCAGTGGGTGAGTCCCTTAATCCACAGTTTTTACGCTCGCTTGAGGTCATTTTTGTGTGAAGAGTGGATGTGAATAATGGGAGATGAGCTGCGTTTGCTGAGTGAGTTCTGCTGTAGCGAGGAGCATTAGCATTAGCGAGGAGCATTAGCATTAGCGAGGAGCATTAGCGAGGAGCATTAGCGAGGAGCATTAGCGCCTCGTGCCGGATCGGCTGTGTACTGCTATAACACGTCACCCGCTCAAACCACTGAAACGCATCTAATTCACATTTGTTTGGTTTTTCTTTTTTGCAAACTTTGAAAATATTGGGTTCAGGCTTGTATGGAGAACACAGACTGTAAATGAATATGGACGTAGTGTCCGTGACGTCACCCGTAGTGTTTCTGAAGACCGTTTCTGAAGCCTAAAGTGGGCGGGGCCGGCCGTCGCCATCTTGGCAGTGCGTCACCTCTCGTCATACTGGATAACATAAAATGGGCAAAGAGGCGGGCCGTGGGTGGAGCTGAGGTGCTAATGCTAATGCTATATGCTACTGGCCTCGCTCTAAAGTGACAGCTGATTGAAGAAGTAAAGCCAATAGTTAGTTCATGTTTTTGCCCTTCGAAATACTATAATAGTTAAAGATGTAAGTAAAAGTGAGACTGTGTATCGTGATGCATTATTATTCTACTATAAAAATGTATTATCATGCAGTAACTTACAATATTGCTCTGAGCTTGTGCGTGTGACAGTGATTCATGCGCACACATGTCAGTCAGCATGGCATCGCTCGTCAAGTCCGTAAAGATCTTTATTCAGTCCATTTTAAAATCAGATTTTGGCCGCCTCTCAATTTCTCAAAAGGGTTAAACCATAGACTGTAAAAAAAGATGGACGACGCCCCTTCGCGCTCTTCCATTGGTCAGAAGTGAAGCCGCCAGTATCCCAATATGGCGCTGACATCTTGGAACTTGAGTGATTTCGGGACCAGACCCGCGCAGTAGCGATTTCGGGGCCAGACCCGCGCAGTAGCGATCTCGGGACCAGACCCGGCAAGTAGCGATCTCGGGGCCAGACCCGCGCAGTAGCGATCTCGGGACCAGACCCGCGCAGTAGCGATCTCGGGGCCAGACCCGCGCAGTAGCGATCTCGGGACCAGACCCGCGCGGTAGCGATCTCGGGACCAGACCCCACAGTAGCGATCTCGGGGCCAGACCCGCGCAGTAGCGATCTCGGGGCCAGAGCCGCGCAGTAGCGATCTCGGGACCAGACCCCACAGTAGCGATCTCGGGGCCAGACCCGTGCAGTAGCGATCTCGGGGCCAGACCCGCGCAGTAGCGATCTCGGGGCCAGACCCGCGCAGTAGCGATCTCGGGGCCAGACCCGCGCAGTAGCGATCTCGGGGCCAGACCCGCGCAGTAGCGATCTCGGGGCCAGACCCGCGCAGTAGCGATCTCGGGACCAGACCCGCGCAGTAGCGATCTCGGGGCCAGACCCGCGCAGTAGCGATCTCGGGACCAGACCCGCGCAGTAGCGATCTCGGGACCAGACCCGCTCAGTAGCGATCTCGGGACCAGACCCCACAGTAGCGATCTCGGGGCCAGACCCGCGCAGTAGCGATCTCGGGGCCAGACCCGCGCAGTAGCGATCTCGGGACCAGACCCGCGTAGTAGCGATCTCGGGGCCAGACCCGCGCAGTAGCGATCTCGGGACCAGACCCGCGCAGTAGCGATCTCGGGGCCAGACCCGCGCAGTAGCGATCTCGGGGCCAGACCCGCGCAGTAGCGATCTCGGGCCCAGACCCGCGCAGTAGCGATCTCGGGGCCAGACCCGCGCAGTAGCGATCTCGGGACCAGACCCGCGCAGTAGCGATCTCGGGACCAGACCCGCGCAGTAGCGATCTGAGAAGCAGATCTGACTCACTTTTGCAACCCGGTCCCGAGATCTGGCCCGAGATCTGACTCACTTTTGCAACCAGCCTCTAGTGGCCAGTCGATGAACTGCAGTTTAATTCACTTCCGTGTTGGTTTCAAGAGAGAGACAGGGAGGTTGCTGCTTGGTGGAGACCCAGCTGCTGTGAGGTCTGGTGTGTGTGTGTGTGTGTGTGTGTGTGTGTGTGTGTGTGTGTGTGTGTGTGTTTAGGGCACGCTGGAGAAGATCAATGGCGCGCTGGCGGCGGAGTACGAGTGTGTGTGTGTGATCAGTGTGTGTGTGTGTGTTCAGGGCGCGCTGGAGAAGATCAACGGCGCGCTGGCGGTGGAGTACGAGTGCCGGCGGCGGATGCTGATCAAGCGGCTGGACGTGACGGTGCAGTCCTTCAGCTGGAGCGACAGAGCCAAGGCACGGGGAACGCTCACACAACACTACACACAACACGGCCTACACACTTCACACAACACTACACACAACATGGCCTACACACTTCACACAACACTACACACAACACGGCCTACACACTTCACACAACACGGCCTACACACTTCACACAACACTGCCTAGCTTTTAAACACATTCATACATTTTATCAAAGAAAAAAGTTAGAAATTGAGAAACTCGTTACTAGGAAGAAAAAAGTCCGAATTTGAGGTAAAAACATTTAATTTACTATTCAACAATATTATTGATCTCCTGCATTGACACCATTATATGAGAACTGAACTGAGCTGGACGATGACATCACGGCTTTCTCCAGAGCGGCTATATATACTGCAATTGTGACCAACTCCCATTGGTCGGTGGTGATGATGTCACAGGTGGGTGTGCCTTTGGTCAGTGTTGATGATGTCACAGGTGGGTGTGGCTCTGGTCAGTGTTGATGTCACAGGTGGGTGTGGCTGTTGTCAGTGTTGATGATGTAATATGTGGGTGTGGCTCTAAGGTGTAAATCTCCGGTTCATTTCTCCTGTTCAGACGCGAGTAAAAACACGAACACACTGAGAGCCGCTGTATAGCAGAAACTGAAGCTGAAAGAGACACTGACACTGCAGCGTGTGTTCTGTGCATCTGTTCCCTGACAGACAGGTGCATCTGCTGTTGAGTGTTAGCTCAGCTGTGAGTTTCTGTGTTTGTTCTCCAGGTCCGGGTTGACAGGATGGCGCGGGCGTATCAGCAGAAGCGCTTCTGTCTGCCGCTGCAGCCGGCGGTGTGTGTGGCGCATCTGCTCGCCGCTCGAGAGGACGTCTGCTACGTGAGGAAGACCAGCAGCGGCTCGAGCCGAGAGAACACCGCCTGCGCCGTCAACAGGGTACGCCAGCTCACACCAGCTCACGATAGCTCACACCAGCTCACACCAGCTCACGATAGCTCACTCCAGCTAACACCAGCTCACTCCAGCTCACACCAGCTCACACCAGCTCACGATAGCTCACTCCAGCTAACTCCAGCTCACGATAGCTCACTCCAGCTAACTCCAGCTCACGATAGCTCACTCCAGCTCACTCCAGCTCACTCCAGCTCACTCCAGCTAACACCAGCTCACTCCAGCTAACACCAGCTCACTCCAGCTAACACCAGCTCACTCCAGCTAACACCAGCTCACTCCAGCTAACACCAGCTCACTCCAGCTCACACCAGCTCACACCAGCTCACACCAGCTCACGATAGCTCACACCAGCTAACACCAGCTCACTCCAGCTCACACCAGCTCACACCAGCTCACGATAGCTCACTCCAGCTAACTCCAGCTCACGATAGCTCACTCCAGCTAACTCCAGCTCACGATAGCTCACTCCAGCTCACTCCAGCTCACGATAGCTCACTCCAGCTAACACCAGCTCACGATAGCTCACTCCAGCTAACTCCAGCTCACGATAGCTCACTCCAGCTAACACCAGCTCACACCAGCTCACGATAGCTCACTCCAGCTAACACCAGCTCACGATAGCTCACTCCAGCTAACACCAGCTCACACCAGCTCACGATAGCTCACTCCAGCTCACTCCAGCTAACACCAGCTCACACCAGCTCACGATAGCTCACTCCAGCTAACACCAGCTCACGATAGCTCACTCCAGCTAACACCAGCTCACACCAGCTCACGATAGCTCACTCCAGCTAACACCAGCTCACGATAGCTCACTCCAGCTAACACCAGCTAACGCCAGCTAACGCCAGCTCACTCCAGCTAACACCAGCTCACTCCAGCTCACTCCAGCTCACTCCAGCTCACTCCAGCTCACTCCAGCTCACTCCAGCTAACACCAGCTAACACCAGCTCACTCCAGCTCACTCCAGCTCACACCAGCTCACGATAGCTCACTCCAGCTCACGATAGCTCATACCAGCTCACTCCAGCTAACACCAGCTCACGATAGCTCACTCCAGCTCACTCCAGCTAACACCAGCTCACACCAGCTCACGATAGCTCACTCCAGCTCACTCCAGCTCACTCCAGCTAACACCAGCTCACGATAGCTCACTCCAGCTCACTCCAGCTCACACCAGCTCACTCCAGCTCACACCAGCTCACACCAGCTCACGATAGCTCACTCCAGCTAACACCAGCTCACACCAGCTCACGATAGCTCACACCAGCTAACACCAGCTCACGCCAGCTCACGATAGCTCACTCCAGCTAACACCAGCTCACGCCAGCTCACGATAGCTCACACCAGCTCACGATAGCTCACTCCAGCTAACACCAGCTCACACCAGCTCACGATAGCTCACACCAGCTCACGATAGCTCACTCCAGCTAACACCAGCTCACGCCAGCTCACGATAGCTCACACCAGCTCACGATAGCTCACTCCAGCTAACACCAGCTCACACCAGCTCACGATAGCTCACACCAGCTCACGATAGCTCACGCCAGCTCACGATAGCTCACTCCAGCTAACACCAGCTCACACCAGCTCACGATAGCTCACTCCAGCTCACTCCAGCTCACGCCAGCTAACACCAGCTCACACTAGCTCACGATAGCTCACACCAGCTAACGCCAGCTCACGATAGCTCACTCCAGCTAACACCAGCTAACACCAGCTCACACCAGCTCACGATAGCTCACTCCAGCTCACGATAGCTCACTCCAGCTAACACCAGCTCACTCCAGCTCACGATAGCTCACTCCAGCTCACTCCAGCTCACACCAGCTCACGATAGCTCACTCCAGCTAACACCAGCTCACACCAGCTCACGATAGCTCACGCCAGCTCACACCAGCTCACGATAGCTCACTCCAGCTAACACCAGCTCACACCAGCTCACGATAGCTCACACCAGCTCACTCCAGCTAACACCAGCTCACGCCAGCTCACTCCAGCTAACACCAGCTCACACCAGCTCACGATAGCTCACTCCAGCTAACACCAGCTCACGCCAGCTCACGATAGCTCACACCAGCTCACGCCAGCTCACTCCAGCTAACACCAGCTCACGCCAGCTCACGCCAGCTCACTCCAGCTAACACCAGCTCACACCAGCTCACGATAGCTCACTCCAGCTCACGCCAGCTCACGATAGCTCACTCCAGCTAACACCAGCTCACACCAGCTCACGATAGCTCACTCCAGCTAACACCAGCTCACACCAGCTCACGATAGCTCACACCAGCTCACACCAGCTCACGATAGCTCACTCCAGCTCACACCAGCTCACTCCAGCTCACACCAGCTCACTCCAGCTCACAATAGCTCACTCCAGCTCACGCCAGCTCACGATAGCTCACTCCAGCTCACTCCAGCTCACACCAGCTCACGATAGCTCACACCAGCTCACGATAGCTCACTCCAGCTCACTCCAGCTAACACCAGCTCACGCCAGCTCACTCCAGCTCACGCCAGCTCACTCCAGCTCACACCAGCTCACTCCAGCTCACGATTGCTCACGCCAGCTCACGATAGCTCACTCCAGCTCACACCAGCTCATGATAGCTCACTCCAGCTCACTCCAGCTAACACCAGCTCACACCAGCTCACTCCAGCTCACGCCAGCTCACGATAGCTCACACCAGCTCACACCAGCTAACTCCAGCTCACTCCAGCTCACTCCAGCTAACACCAGCTCACTCCAGCTCACTCCAGCTCACTCCAGCTCACTCCAGCTCACTCCAGCTCACACCAGCTCACACCAGCTAACACCAGCTCACTCCAGCTAACACCAGCTCACGCCAGCTCACGATAGCTCACACCAGCTCACGATAGCTCAATCCAGCTAACGCCAGCTAACGCCAGCTCACACCAGCTAACGCCAGCTCACGCCAGCTCACTCCAGCTCACGATAGCTCACTCCAGCTCACTCCAGCTCACACCAGCTAACGCCAGCTCACTCCAGCTCACACCAGCTCACGATAGCTCAATCCAGCTAACGCCAGCTAACGCCAGCTAACGCCAGCTCACACCAGCTAACGCCAGCTCACTCCAGCTCACACCAGCTCACTCCAGCTCACTCCAGCTCACACCAGCTCACTCCAGCTCACTCCAGCTCACACCAGCTCACTCCAGCTCACTCCAGCTCACTCCAGCTCACACCAGCTCACACCAGCTCACTCCAGCTCACACCAGCTCACGATAGCTCACTCCAGCTAACGCCAGCTAACGCCAGCTCACACCAGCTAACTCCAGCTCACGATAGCTCACTCCAGCTAACTAACACCAGCTCACGATAGCTCACTCCAGCTCACACCAGCTCACGATAGCTCACTCCAGCTCACACCAGCTCACACCAGCTCACGATAGCTCACTCCAGCTAACACCAGTTCACTCCAGCTCACTCCAGCTAACACCAGCTCACTCCAGCTCACGCCAGCTCACGATAGCTCACTCCAGCTAACACCAGCTCACGATAGCTCACTCCAGCTAACACCAGCTCACTCCAGCTCACTCTAGCTAACACCAGCTCACTCCAGCTCACGATAGCTCACTCCAGCTAACACCAGCTCACTCCAGCTCACACCAGCTAACACCAGCTCACTCCAGCTCACTCTAGCTAACACCAGCTCACTCCAGCTCACGATAGCTCACACCAGCTAACACCAGCTCACGATAGCTCACTCCAGCTAACACTAGCTCACGCCAGTTCACGATAGCTCACTCCAGCTCACTCCAGCTAACACCAGCTCACTCCAGCTCACTCCAGCTCACACCAGCTCACTCCAGCTAACACTAGCTCACGATAGCTCACTCCAGCTCACACCAGCTCACGATAGCTCACACCAGCTCACGATAGCTCACTCCAGCTCACACCAGCTCACGATAGCTCACACCAGCTAACACCAGCTCACGATAGCTCACTCCAGCTAACACCAGCTCACGATAGCTCACTCCAGCTCACTCCAGCTCACTCCAGCTCACACCAGCTCACTCCAGCTCACGATAGCTCACACCAGCTCACACCAGCTCACGATAGCTCACACCAGCTAACACCAGCTCACGATAGCTCACTCCAGCTAACACCAGCTCACGATAGCTCACTCCAGCTAACACCAGCTCACGATAGCTCACTCCAGCTAACACCAGCTCACGATAGCTCACACCAGCTCACGCCAGCTCACGATAGCTCACACCAGCTAACACCAGCTCACGATAGCTCACTCCAGCTAACACCAGCTCACGATAGCTCACTCCAGCTCACTCCAGCTCACACCAGCTCACGATAGCTCACACCAGCTCACGATAGCTCACTCCAGCTAACACTAGCTCACGCCAGCTCACGATAGCTCACTCCAGCTCACTCCAGCTAACACCAGCTCACTCCAGCTCACTCCAGCTCACACCAGCTCACGATAGCTCACTCCAGCTCACTCCAGCTAACACCAGCTCACGATAGCTCACACCAGCTCACGATAGCTCACTCCAGCTAACACTAGCTCACGCCAGCTCACGATAGCTCACTCCAGCTCACTCCAGCTAACACCAGCTCACTCCAGCTCACTCCAGCTCACACCAGCTCACGATAGCTCACTCCAGCTCACTCCAGCTAACACCAGCTCACTCCAGCTCACTCCAGCTCACGATAGCTCACTCCAGCTCACACCAGCTCACGATAGCTCACGCCAGCTCACTCCAGCTAACACCAGCTCACGATAGCTCACACCAGCTAACACCAGCTCACTCCAGCTAACACCAGCTCACGATAGCTCACTCCAGCTCACTCCAGCTCACACCAGCTCACGATAGCTCACACCAGCTCACGATAGCTCACTCCAGCTAACACTAGCTCACGCCAGCTCACGATAGCTCACTCCAGCTCACTCCAGCTAACACCAGCTCACTCCAGCTCACTCCAGCTCACACCAGCTCACGATAGCTCACTCCAGCTCACTCCAGCTAACACCAGCTCACGATAGCTCACACCAGCTAACACCAGCTCACGATAGCTCACTCCAGCTCACACCAGCTCACGATAGCTCACGCCAGCTCACTCCAGCTCACACCAGCTCACGATAGCTCACTCCAGCTAACACCAGCTCACTCCAGCTAACACCAGCTCACGATAGCTCACACCAGCTAACACCAGCTCACGATAGCTCACTCCAGCTAACACCAGCTCACGATAGCTCACACCAGCTAACACCAGCTCACGATAGCTCACTCCAGCTCACTCCAGCTCACACCAGCTCACGATAGCTCACTCCAGCTCACTCCAGCTCACACCAGCTCACGATAGCTCACTCCAGCTAACACTAGCTCACGCCAGCTCACGATAGCTCACTCCAGCTCACACCAGCTCACGATAGCTCACTCCAGCTCACACCAGCTCACACCAGCTAACACTAGCTCACGCCAGCTCACGATAGCTCACGCCAGCTCACGATAGCTCACTCCAGCTCACACCAGCTCACTCCAGCTAACACTAGCTCACGCCAGCTCACGATAGCTCACTCCAGCTCACTCCAGCTCACTCCAGCTCACAATAGCTCACTCCAGCTCACACCAGCTCACGATAGCTCACTCCAGCTCACTCCAGCTCACGCCAGCTCACGATAGCTCACGCCAGCTCACGATAGCTCACGCCAGCTCACGATAGCTCACGCCAGCTCACGATAGCTCACGATAGCTCACGCCAGCTCACACCAGCTCACGATAGCTTACGCCAGCTCACGATAGCTCACGCCAGCTCACGATAGCTCACGATAGCTCACGCCAGCTCACGATAGCTCACGATAGCTGATGCCAGCTCACACCAGCTCGCGATAGCTTACGCCAGCTCACGATAGCTCACGCCAGCTCACACCAGCTCGCGATAGCTCACACCAGCTCACTCCAGCTCACGCTTCTGACCATTGATGAGCTAGTGTCTCTGGGAGGGCCTTCCCTTCTCTGTACAGATAAACACTGTCAAAATCATTCCAGTTCGCATGGCTAGGCAGAAGCAACAAATAATTCTGTATTATGTTTTTAAGATAATGATTATGATAAAGATTATGACTATCAAAGATTATGGTAAATGAAGGTGAGTTGACTTGATGATTTGAGTGTGGTGGAATCGGCAGATCCTGATGGGAAGAGTTCCTGATCGCGGAGGACGGCCGTCGGAGATCCAGGCGCCTCTGCCGGAGATGCCCGTGTGGAGGAAGAGAACTGATGGAGGAGGAGGAGGAGGGTGGAGAGGAGGAGGAGGAGGAGGAGGAGGAGGGTGGAGAGGAGGAGGAGGAGGAGGAGGCCGATGGAGGACAGGAGGCCGAGGGGGGCAGTACCATCACTGACGGTGTTATAGTGGACGAATGACTGAAGGTTTGCCTGACAGTGAAGCACATCCACGTGCGTCTGAGAGGAGACGTCATTTCCTCTCTTTTAAACTAGTGTTTTCTTAAAGGGATCGTTCACCCAAAAATTTAAATTAGCCCATGATTTACTCACCCTAAAGCCATCCTAGGTGTATATGACTCTTCTTTCAGACAAATACAATCAGAGTTATATTAAAAAAATGTCCTGGCTCTTCCAAGCTTATAATGAGAGTGAACGGCTGGTGAAAATTTGAAGTCCATAAAAGTGCATCTGTCCATCATAAAAGTGCATCTATATATAATTAAAGTGCTCCACAGGCTCCGGGGGGTTGTTAAAGGCCTTCTGAAGCGAAGCTATGGGTTTTTGTAAGAAAAATACCCATATTTATAACTTTATAATCTAAAATGACTAGCTTCTGCCAGACGGCCGTACACATACTACACACGGGTAACCCGTGACGCATGTGTAATGTGGGATGTAGGAGTAACTTTAGAAGCCTCTCGCGGTCTAAACAAACAGGACTGGGCTACAAACTCAAGCTCCTCTATTATATAGAAATCCTCCCTCATTTCTCTTTGAAAATGGCTAATTCGCGACCGGTGTGTTTCGCTCTGTCCTCTGCGTAAAGCGATGCGTATGGCCGTCTGTCGGAAGCCAGTGATTATAGTTTATAATATGTGTATTTTCCTTACACGGACGCATGGCTTCGCTTCAGAAAGCCGTTCTTAACCCCGCAGAGCCTGTGGAGCACTTTATCATGGAGGTGCCCAGCGCTCACTGCCATCAAGCTGGAAGAGCCAGGACAGGTGTAAATATAACTCAGATTCTGAAAGAAGAACGTCATGTACAGCTAGGAGGACTTCAGGGTGAGTGAATCATGGGATAGTTTTCATTTTGGGGTGAACTATCATATTAAGCTACATGATCAGCCTGTGCAAAAACCTGAGATTACGAAGCATGCATTGCTTCAAAAGCCTGTTTAAAACAATGACAAATAAAGCCGTGAAAAACCCTTATGAAATACACATGACATTTGATCTTTGTTTTTTGTTGTCTTTTTTTCTTGTTCTGTATAAATGCAATAATGTTTCAAAAGGGGGGTTCTGTGTTAGCCTTCAGGACAATGCCCAAATCCTGTGTGGGAATTACCCAAGCAAAATCTACAGGCCCCTTTCAGAAACCGCTTCAAAATAGGTTGGACAACCGTGTTTCCTCCATAGCCTGTATGGCGATTCAGTGGAGCTAGAGATCCCCTAAAGCAGGGGTGCCCAACCCTGCACAGCTCATCTCCAACCCTAATCAAACACACCTGCCTTTACTTTTCAAGTGATCCTGAAGACCTTAATTGGTTGCTTCAGGTGTGTTTGATTAGGGTTGGAGATGAGCTGTGCAGGACAGTCGGCACCCCTGCCGTAAAGGTTGACTCTGTTAGACCAGTCTCCGAAAAGAACTGGAGAAATGATAAGACTGACTCCAACTCGCATGGAACTGGGTCCATTTCCCTGGACTGAAACATCGAGAACGTTTCCCACGAGCAGCATACAGCCGGCTTGTAGATGGGGCTTCGGCTGCCCAAAGGTGCTCGAACTGCTTCTCCAAGAGCTCTGGAAGACTCCTGTCCAGTGGCCAGACGTGTAGACGTACCTCCCTGCATCTGGGTGCCAGAGTTGGCCCTGAGCCTGAGACTGCATATTCTTCAGTCCGCAATGCAACCACATCCGGCAATTGTGACTGCTGCGTTTCCCGAAAGCATCGTTATCCAACTATGATCGCAATTTCCATTGAACTCTATTGGTATCGACGGAACTTGCGACCATAGTTGGCTTTGAGAAACGCACCCCTGGCTAGGACCAGTGGAAAAGGAGGTAATGCATACAGGAGCACTGGAGGCCCTTTGCTAGCCAGATCATCTCCCCCTAGGGACCCCCTGGGGCCCACTATTGAATACCACAGGGAACAAGGTGTGGTTTCCCGTTATGCAAAGAGATCCACCTGAGCCATCCCAAACCGAGCCCAGATTGCCCACACCACTACTCGACCACCTTTGTGTTGTTCCTGGCCTGCTGTTCTGTAGAGGAACAAATTAACTAATCATCCAGGTAATTGGCTATACGTATGCCCTGGCGATGAAAGGGGGATGAGCACTGCATTCATACATTTTGTAAAGGTGCGGGGAGTCAATGACAGACCGAAGGGGAGAACATTGTACTTGTATGCGTTGCCCTGAACTTAGAACCTGAGGTACTTCCCGTGACTGGTGTAAACTGGGATGTGAAAATAAGCATCCTGGAGATACACTGTTGTGAACCAGTCCCCTTGTCTGATAAAGGTTAAATGGTTGATAAGCTGAGCATGTGGACAGACAGATTTTGTTTTTAAATGATGGTTGAATTGCTTGAGATTGCGGATGGGACGAAGACTTCCAACCTTTTTCAGAATTAGGAAACAGCTAAAGCCCTTCCCCATTGGTTCTCCCAGGGGCACTCGTGTTATTGCTCCTTTTCCTAAAAGGACTAAGACCTCGATTGTGAGAGACTTGTGCTCTTTCTTGTCTTCTAAAACAGTAGGGAGAATCAGGTACTTAATTACAGTAACGTGAGTATTTGTAATTTGTTTCTTCACAGCCCTGATCCTGAGTTGACAGAAAAGTTTGTATTGTGTGACGTGGTACTGAGTAAACCAGTTTAGATTCCCATTCATAGATCACATTCAAAACAGAAAGCACACTGAGCAAACAAGAAATCACTGTGAATCATCAGAGAGGACACTATTGCGATGAAGAACACAGAACAATGCTTCCGCAAATAAACTTTCATTGAACAGTTCTTACTACTTTTTTTTTTTATGTGAAGAATATTAAAAAAATCTAAAGAACCTTTTCCACTCTCATAATTTTGTGAAATGGAAAGATTCCATTAATTCTTCTCTGAAAGTTCTTCATGGAAACATTGATGCCAAGAAGGAGCTTTACTGTACTTCAGTGTGTACTTCAGAAATAAATGCTTGTGTAATGGAAATAGCATTTATTAAAACAGCTTGAAACAAGAAGCTTAATAAAACGCTGTTTATTTATATCTAGTGTGATGAGAAGTCACAGGTTTAAATAGGGTTTGTATAAAATTCTACAACAATCATAAAAAGTGTCAATCATGAGCTAAAACACGAAATATGATCCTAGGAGTCATGACACGAACAATAACTATATCTACAAGCTGGTATCAGTCCGAGTCGAGTGAGAAGCGCCTGAAGCCCAGCGCTCGCCTCACGTCCATTAGCAGAGATCACTAGACCATCCGTAACAGAACTACGCTCATGTGTGAGTCAGGATTAACACAGAGGTTTAAAATCATCCATGTTCAGCAGAGTAATGCACAATGCAGAATCAAACAATATCAATGGTTGGTTTTTCTTCTGTTGAACAAAAATAAACATAAAAATAAACTATGCTTTTTCCATACCTAATATGTAACACAGCACAGTTAATAGTAAACATGAAAAATTACATTATAAAAAGCATTAGTAAATATAGATATTGTAATGTTGTGTTATAAATGTTTTATCTTCAACATGTCAATATAAAATATCAAAATCCTGCAGAAAGCTTCATGTGAACGCCAGCAGAGACTGCAGCTTGACTGGGAAACTTGATTTATGATTGAATTATGAGATCGTCTTTGTTACAGAATCTCCTGGTTTGTGTGAAGAGCTGCTGCTGTACATTTACACTGATCATCTCCACTTGTCTTTTTAATAAAACTGTTCTGAACATTCAGATATGTTTTCATAACTTAATGGGAATGTTAGCAAAAATGTTCTTAGAACAGATTTTTGTAGCTTCATAAAGGCTCCTAAATACTTAAAGCGAACTCGAAGAATGAACTGGTGTGACGTCATTTCGAACAAAACCAGGTCAAAACGAATTTGTTTGGAGTTCGTTTCAGGAGTTAAAAAAACAAATTGTCAAAGTGAACTATCTGGGAATGTTCGTTCCGGCTGGTAAACACCTCTGAACTCCTATTGGTCGGTGATGATGATGTAATATGTGGGTGTGGCTCTGGTCTGTGGTGATGATGTCATATGTGGGTGTGGCTCTGGTCTGTGGTGATGATGTAATAGGTGGGTGTGGCTCTGGCCAGTGGTGATGATGTAATATGTGGGTGTGGCTCTGCTCTGTGGTGATGATGTAATATGTGGGTGTGGCTCTGGCCAGTGGTGATGATGTCATATGTGGGTGTGGCTCTGGCCAGTGGTGATGATGTAATATGTGGGTGTGGCTCTGGTCAGTGGTGATGATGTAATATGTGGGTGTGGCTCTGGTCTGTGATGATGATGTAATATGTGGGTGTGGCTCTGGCCAGTGGTGATGATGTAATATGTGGGTGTGGCTCTGGTCAGTGGTGATGATGTAATATGTGGGTGTGGCTCTGGTCTGTGATGATGATGTAATATGTGGGTGTGGCTCTGGTCAGTGATGATGATGTAATATGTGGGTGTGGCTCTGGTCGGTGGTGATGATGTCATATGTGGGTGTGGCTCTGGCCAGTGGTGATGCTGTAATATGTGGGTGTGGCTCTGATCTGTGGTGATGATGTAATATGTGGGTGTGGCTCTGATCTGTGATTATGATGTCATATGTGGGTGTGGCTCTGAGGCTCCGCCTTCTCTGAGGTGTAAATCTCCAGTTCATTTCTTCAGTTCAGACGCGAGTAAAAACACGAACACACCGAGAGCCGCTTTATAGCAGAAACTGAAGCTGAAAGAGACACTGACACTGTTTTCATGTTTAACACTGTAAAGCTGCTGATTTAAAGCAATCTACTGTATAAAGTGCTGTATAAACAAACGTGAATCTCAGATGCTTCAAACATCCACATCTCTATGATCAGATGCTTTCTGAACTGCTGCTTTCTCTGTTTATTCTGTTATTGAGAGGAAAGAGCAGCACATATTTACATATTCATCTAATTGCCGAGTATATCAGGGTTTTTCCCAGATCTGTTCTCTGATTCCTAGACATTTCCTCCTTTTTATTTGTGAGGAATAACAGATTATTCAAACAAATATATCCTCAAAAAGTTGCTGTCATTAACAAAAACATACAACACAAACAGAAAAAAGCGTTGGAGACACTGGATCATGAAGGCGGAGAGACCCAGTGTCCAGTCGTTCAGCGTTCTCTGAGCCGCTGGGCTGGACGGGTCCAGTTAGGAGTAGATGGACCAGTAGATGATGTTAAAGAGGGTGTACGCGCCGGGAAAGACCACTCGTGAGTACTTGTCTATGGCATGAGTGTCTATCCAGATGTTGACGTAGCCCCGTGAGGTTCTGACCCGACTCGTACTCTGACCGTCGGCGAGGGTAAGCTGGGCCAAGATCCTCTCCTGCCTCCCGCCGTTCTCCGGCATCCCGTAGGTCCCGGTTGTGTTGGGATCCACGCCGCTGTAGCATGTGGTCATCATCATGTCCTCGTCTGGGTTTGCTATTCCACATGTGCAAGGCAACTGCAATGTGAAGCCATAAACACAGGAGAGACGGACATGTTAGGGGCCGGTTCATCCAGAACGTAAGAGACGAAGGTCAGTGAAACGGGGGGAAAAACACAAGGTCTAGAGGTGCATATTTTTAAAACTTGAACTTCTTTTAACTTGAGCGCCCATTTTTAGAACGCTGTGTCGTACGCGCGACAATGCAAAAGACACGGTTGCAATGCTTAAAGACTGTTGCATTTACATTCAAAAACAATGGAAAAGTAGTGCCGTGGGGCGGACAGTGGTGGACGAAGTACACAAATCAAGGACTTGAGGAAAAGTGCAGATACCCTGATAAAATATTACTCCAGTATAAGTATTCAAGCACTAATTTTCAATTTATTTAATATATTTTTTATTCATTTTTTATGTACTTAAAGGGATACTCCACTTTTTTGGAAATAGGCTCATTTTATAACTCCCCCAGAGTTAAACTGTTGAGTTTTACCGGTTTCGAATCCATTCAGACGATCTCCCGTTCTGGCGGTACCACTTTTAGCATAGCTTAGCATACATCACTGAAGTGGACAAGACCATTAGCATTTCTAAAAAAAAAAATGACCAAAGAGTTTCGATATTTTTCCTATTTAAAACTTGACTCTTCTGTAGTTACATCGTGCACTAAGACCGACATATTACACTAGAGTTTAACTCTCGGCGAGTTGTAAAATGAGCCTATTTCCAAAAAAAGTGGAGTATCCCTTTAAGTATTAATAAAGTGCTGATCAATGAACCATGTATATTATTTATCCTAGTCAGTTTAAGTTTTTACTTGTTATACATTATACTTATATACTTTTATAGCAGATTTAATTCACAAATAACTGACTTTCATGACCTAAATAAGATTCATTAATACTAAAATTTGGCATTAGCAACTTACTTTCGTGCCATTCAAGCTCTGACAAAATCCCGGTTGATTCTGTCTGGATCTTGAATGGGTGAGTTGACTCGAGAGCAGCTGCGCTCGGATCAGTCTGATTCAGGAATGAATCCTTCAGTGCGATTTGTGAACTAATTCAACGTATTCCTTGGAAAGAATCGGCTCATTCACAAATGCAACATGGCTATCTAGCTCGGCTTGGGTATCAGTCGGTAATTTCTTCATTTCGAAATGACAAGGAACAATATGTTTTTAATGAAATGGAGTAAAAAGAATGACATTATGCTTTGGAATGTAGTGAAGTAAATGTTTCCTAACAGACGGATACTCTGACACAGCACAGATACTTGAACATGTATTTAAGTACAGTAACTGAGGAAAACTAACTCCTGACTGTCCTCCACTGGTGTGCAAGCCCCTACACTGGCTCTAAACGGGGAATATTCTTCATTATTTCTCCGTATCACTCTTTTCCTCTCGTCATCTTGGTCTACCAGCATTAGATAGTCATTATTTTGGCAAAGGGGAAAGTGGCGTCTTACTTGATTCCTGAGTTTCCTCTCTCGCCGCTCCTGTACGGTGGTCAGGTAGTTGACGGCAGCGTACTCGATGACAGAGAGGAAGACGAAGACGAAGCTGACCCACAGGTAAATGTCCACTGCTTTGATGTAGGAGACTCTGGGCATGGAGGCATTGACTCCGGTGATGATGGTGGACATCGTAAGAACTGTCGTGATGCCTGTGTGAAAGCATTGGTTGGATATCATTTTCACTGCAAAATATTACTTTCTTCCTCAGTATTTAGTCTTGTTAGGACTGTAGGTTGAAAGCACTTAGTAAGTAGTCTTGTTTTCCAGCACAAATATCTAATATATAAACATTCTAAACATGTACCTCCATTGAAAGTCTATTCATCTAAAAACCCAGACACTTCAAAGCGGTCATAAAGATATCCTCAAAAGTTTAACTCAAGTCTTCTGAAGATACATGATCGCTTTAAATCGTCAACAGATTAAACTAATAGCTTATATTCACATATAAAGTGTATCCATATTCAGAAGCTGCCGAATCGTAGGCCGGATCACAGCGGCGCGACGAAGCCTGTCCCAGTTCGAAGGCTCTTTCGAATGCGCCCTACAAATTTAAAAACGCTCGCTTCGATGTTCGCAGACTTCGCTATTAACATATGTTGTGTCCCAAATGACCACTACACACTATGAATTTTATAACATTATTTTGTTTCAGAGCATACATGAATGACATGACAACCATGACTACAACAGTAGCCTGCACTAATCGGTTATTGGGGAAGTTAACCGATAATATTGAATGGGCAAGAATGCAATTTAAGCCCTCTAAATCAAGGAGCATCTCGATAGTTAAAGGAAAGGTAGTAGATAAAACATTCTTCATTAATGGTGAGGCAATACCAAGAGTTTCTGAGAAGCCAGTGAAGAGTCTTGGGAGATGGTACGATGGGGATCTAAAGGACACAGTTCGGGTGGGAGAACTTAGACGACAAGCAGTGGAAGGGTTGAAGAGCATAAACAGCTGTGCTCTACCAGGCAAACTAAAACTCTGGTGCTTTCAGTTTGGTCTACTGCCGAGGTTGCTGTGGCCACTGACCGTGTACGAGGTTTCTTTGACAACAGTGGATAAGCTGGAAGCGTTGATAAGTTCATACATCAGTAAATGGTTGGGAGTTCCACGCTGCCTCAGCAGAGTAGGACTTTATAGTAAAGGAATATTGCAGCTGCCAGTCTCTGCTTTAACCGAGGAGTTCAAGTGTGCCAAGGTCAGACTGGAAATGACCTTAGTAGAGTCACGCGACAAATGTGTAAGGGAGGCAGCCCCTGTGTTAAAAACTGGTAGAAAGTGGTCAGCAAAGAAATCTGTAGTAGAGGCAAAGGCTGCCCTTCAAATTGGGGATATCGTGGGACAGGTACAGCATGGAAGAGGGGGTTTGGGGCTCAGATTAGCGTAAAAGAAGCGTAAATGGATGGAGAAGCATAGGTTACTGTAAAGCTAAGTCTTAGTTTGTGCTTATCTTGGCGAAAGCCGAGTACAAATCAGAATGAGGTTTTAACATCTACTCTCGTGTAATGGAAATCATGTTAGTTACCCCCCCTCCCCCGCTACAAAATAATAGCTGAGACAGTCGAGTGCATGAAGTGTCCAAACGTGCTGCGTAACACGAGAAAAGAGCTTTAAATCTTATTTACTGCAAAATGTATATAAATTTAGTGAGTTTAGGGTTAAACAGGAAACAAATCTGCCAATGGGGTCATAAACATCAACTTAATTCAAAGGGAAAATAAGTTTATTTGCTGACACCACTGGCAGATATTTGTTTTTGTTTTAAGCATAAACTCAATTTGAATTAATTTTTCTGAAAGCAAGGCTTAATATCTGGTCATTTTGCTTGATTTAAGAATGTTTAGATATTTGTACTGGAAAATAAGACAAAAATACAAAGAAATTCATTTTTTGCAGTGTTGAGGACTCATCACGGTTGCAACCTGATTTTTAAGATCTCCATACAACTGAATAATCTCTTACGTACACTACAATAGTTACTGAGAGATTAAGGAATGTCATCACAAGAGTTTGAGGAGTGTGTCGTACCGAGAGGAACTCTTGCAGGCACAGCTCTGCGGTCGATCCAGAACGACACCCAGGACAGCATGACCATCAGCGTCGCTGGGAAGTACGTCTGCAGCAGGAAGAAGAAGATGTGCCGCCGGAGAGTGAAGTGTATGTAGAGCCGATTATACCAGCCTGGAAAACACAAATCTGGATGAAAGTGCTGTGATGATACGGCAGTGTTCGCAGGCCAGTTATGCTGTTGGTGCATTTTTACTAGTTTTTCTGGCTGTAGAAGTTGTTTAGCCAGACATTTAGACATGGTGTTCCACCAACATAACGGGGGAAACGTTAAAACATGTGGAAAGAGGGCTTAGATGTAAAGTGCAGCTACAACATACAATTGTTTTGTAGACTTCATTTAATTTACTAGTGTCTGTTTATAATCGAAAACACCACATTAGAACTACAGCTTGGACCGTTTCTGAGATGTTGCTGGACATATTTCAATTAACTTTTGGTTAAAGTGCTTATGTTATGTTATGTTATGTTAAAAGTTCCTAATTTTGTTTTAAATTTCTCCTACAACAGGTTTTCATGCATTCAAGTCTAAAAACACTTTGCTATGATTGGTCACATGGCCCAGTCTGTTGTGATTGGTCTGCTATGATTGGTCACATGGCCCAGTCTGTTGTGATTGGTCTGCTATGATTGGTCACATGGCCCAGTCTGTTGTGATTGGTCTGCTATGATTGGTCACATGGCCCAGTCTGTTGTGATTGGTCTGCTCTGATTGGTCACATGGCCCAGTCTGTTGTGATTGGTCAGCTCTGATTGGTCAATAACCCAGGCTGCGTTCAGCCCCGACAAAACCTTGCACAGCGTGTTTTAAACAGAAACGGTGATGCGTTGAACACACTGTTCTGATGACGCAAGAGTTGCAACTATGGCAGCTGAGAAGGCCATTCTTTGTGTTCTTTGTGAAGAATTGTCGGAGCCTGATGAAGTCGATATAAATATGTGTTTAATACTACAAAATATGCCCAATTTTACAGTTACTGCACTTGCCGCCCAGAACACAAGAGAGCATCCCAGTCGAGTGAAGGGGTTTGTGGAAACTGAAATGGAAGCACATTTTACCTAATTCAGACTAAAGCACATCTATTCAGCCTCACATACTGACTTTATTTGTAGTTCATACTGTTTTAATACCCTGTATTTTCTTTCTCATTTTTAGGAAAAGCACTTAATTACCATTGTTTATTTCTATACCAAATGTCATACACTTGCAATGAAGCTAAAAATATAATCAACTACATCATTATGTTTATATCCTATATTTTTACAATAAAACTTAGGACAAATATGTCTTCTAATATCCTCAGTTGCGTATACCGAGCTGCATCGAACACATTTGTAAATGACTTTCCTTGAACCCATTGTGTGAGTTTACTTTAATACCGTGTGCTTTATATACATGTTGCTGCTGATTGGACTGCAGTTCTGACACACCCACCAAACAAGAGAAAACGCATCTCAAACCCCGGTGCACACCGGCGCACGCCGCTCCAGGAAACATGACGTTCAACCCGGAAACCGAAGCAAAACGCTGCGAACCGTTTTGAACTTGAACGTGCCCCCAGTCTGTTGTGATTGGTCTGCTGTGATTGGTCACATGGCCCAGTCTGCTGTGATTGGTCTGCTCTGATTGGTCAATAACCCAGTCTGTTGTAATTGGTCTGCTCTGATTGGTCACATGGCCCAGTCTACTGTGATGGGTCAGAAACCAAATGCTTATTATCATATCTGAATCTCAGCTCGTCCACAGCACTTGATACACAGTGATACGAACAGTAACGATGGCGTGAGTTTTACAGTATTAATCTAATCAAAGTGGATTTGGTTTGGCAGCAGAAAATAGTGTCTTTTCGACATGAACACCACGAACCAAACTCTTCCAGTCTCAGCACCATTCCAGTCTCTATTACATACTACATGAAAGGTGATATTTAAAAAAGCATATCAGGGTCACTTTAATATGGAGTAACTTACATTTTAGACACAATACCGTCAGTTTGTGTTTGCATCACCATAGCTCCAAATGAAGAATTCAGTGGGTGACTGTTAAACCTCAGCACTGATGCTCAGGTGCAGTCTCAGACCAGCAGTCTCAGCTCAGACCAGCAGTCTCAGACCAGCAGTCTCAGACCAGCAGTCTCAGACCAGACCAGCAGTCTCAGACCAGCAGTCTCAGACCAGCAGTCTCAGACCAGACCAGCAGTCTCAGACCAGCAGTCTCAGACCAGACCAGCAGTCTCAGACCAGCAGTCTCAGACCAGCAGTCTCAGACCAGACCAGCAGTCTCAGACCAGCAGTCTCAGCTCAGACCAGCAGGCTCAGACCAGCAGTCTCAGCTCAGACCAGCAGTCTCAGACCAGCAGTCTCAGACCAGACCAGCAGTCTCAGACCAGCAGTCTCAGCTCAGACCAGCAGGCTCAGACCAGCAGTCTCAGCTCAGACCAGCAGTCTCAGACCAGCAGTCTCAGACCAGCAGTCTCAGACCAGCAATCTCAGCTCAGACCAGCAGTCTCAGCTCAGACCAGACCAGCAGTCTCAGACCAGCAGTCTCAGACCAGCAGTCTCAGCTCAGACCAGCAGTCTCAGACCAGCAATCTCAGCTCAGACCAGCAGTCTCAGACCAGCAGTCTCAGCTCAGACCAGCAGTCTCAGCTCAGACCAGCAGTCTCAGACCAGCAGGCTCAGCTCAGACCAGCAGTCTCAGCTCAGACCAGTCTCAGCTCAGACCAGCAGTCTCAGCTCAGACCAGCAGTCTCAGACCAGCAGGCTCAGACCAGCAGTCTCAGCTCAGACCAGCAGTCTCAGACCAGCAGTCTCAGACCAGCAATCTCAGCTCAGACCAGCAGTCTCAGACCAGCAGTCTCAGACCAGCAGTCTCAGCTCAGACCAGCAGGCTCAGACCAGCAGTCTCAGACCAGCAGTCTCAGACCAGCAGTCTCAGACCAGCAATCTCAGCTCAGACCAGCAGTCTCAGACCAGCAGTCTCAGCTCAGACCAGCAGGCTCAGACCAGCAGTCTCAGACCAGCAGTCTCAGACCAGCAGTCTCAGACCAGCAATCTCAGCTCAGACCAGCAGTCTCAGACCAGCAGGCTCAGACCAGCAGTCTCAGACCAGCAGTCTCAGACCAGCAGTCTCAGACCAGCAATCTCAGCTCAGACCAGCAGGCTCAGACCAGCAGGCTCAGACCAGCAGTCTCAGACCAGCAGTCTCAGACCAGCAATCTCAGCTCAGACCAGCAGGCTCAGACCAGCAGGCTCAGACCAGCAGTCTCAGCTCAGACCAGTAGTCTCAGACCAGCAATCTCAGCTCAGACCAGCAGGCTCAGACCAGCAGGCTCAGACCAGCAGTCTCAGACCAGCAGTCTCAGACCAGCAATCTCAGCTCAGACCAGCAGGCTCAGACCAGCAGTCTCAGACCAGCAGTCTCAGACCAGCAGTCTCAGACCAGCAATCTCAGCTCAGACCAGCAGGCTCAGACCAGCAGTCTCAGACCAGCAGTCTCAGACCAGCAGTCTCAGACCAGCAATCTCAGCTCAGACCAGCAGGCTCAGACCAGCAGGCTCAGACCAGCAGTCTCAGACCAGCAGTCTCAGACCAGCAGTCTCAGACCAGCAATCTCAGCTCAGACCAGCAGGCTCAGACCAGCAGGCTCAGACCAGCAGTCTCAGCTCAGACCAGTAGTCTCAGACCAGCAATCTCAGCTCAGACCAGCAGGCTCAGACCAGCAGGCTCAGACCAGCAGTCTCAGACCAGCAGTCTCAGCTCAGACCAGCAGGCTCAGACCAGCAGGCTCAGACCAGCAGTCTCAGCTCAGACCAGTAGTCTCAGACCAGCAGTCTCAGCTCAGACCAGCAGCTGTTTCAACATTGATAATAATAATAAATTTTTCTTGAGCATCAAATCCTCATATTATACTGATTTGTGAAGGATCATTTGACACTGAAGACACTGACACTGGTGATGCTGAAAATATTATAATATTTAATACTATAACTGATTTTTGTTGTATTTTTAATCAAATAAGCGCAGCCATGGTTAGCAGAAGAGAATTCTTTTAAAAGTATTTAAAATCGTACCGACCCCAAACTTTTGAACGGTAGTGTATATTGTTTATGCAAATGTTTTAATGTTTTGCAAGTATTTTGGGAACAATGTTCTCTGAACCATCTGGAAGAAAGTAGTAAGTAGTAATGTTTAAAAAATATTAGAATCACTTCCAACAAAAATGTTTCAGAAAAATGTAAGATGAACGAAGTATAAATAATGTTTTAGTGCTAATGTTTTGAGAACATTATTAAAGACCAGATAAACGCTCTATTAATGTTACCGGAAGAATGTTTGTTCATAACTTTGAGAGAACCTTGAGAGAACGTTCTGGGAAGCTGTGAAGCTCGTTATAACAAAAACCAGAAAGAAAATACAAGTATTAGGAAAGAAGTGCTACTGAACGACTCGGATGGACTCCGACACACAACGTCATCGCAGATTTTATCTGAAGAAGATTAATCAGAAAATCTTTGCAAAGACGGCGAGATTAAATGGCAGAATGTTGGTTTGATTTCCATTCTCACCAATAGTGAACAGAGAGTTAGCTTGAAGTCATGTTGATGCAGATCTGCGTGCTGTTGCTGAATGTACGAGCCAAGCAGAAGTCACTTTGCTTCTCTAGTACATTTATTTTGATTTAAGAATGCTTAGATATTTGCACTGGAAAAAAGGAAGTAGGGAGATAATTGTTTGCAGTGTTCAGAGAATTGAATGCTACTCTGCCAAGCTAAAGATTTCAGCATAAAACCTGTCAGAGAGACTCGAGAGCATGAGCGCTGTACCTGTGCTGCTGTAGAACGCTAGTTTAGTTGTGGTGTGGAACTTCTGGATGAGGAACTGGGACAGAGAAATCCTGTCGTCTGTGTTCAACGACTCGTTGCCCTTCTTCCAGTAAAGCATGAGATCGTCGTCAGTGTACGCATCTGAGAAAACAGCACATGCAGTCCACATCATCACATAAACAGGGACATTTCCAAAGACCAGCACCACATGCATCTTAATTCTTCAGCTCAACGACACCACATTCACATGGACGTAAGATGGCAAGGAGAAATGATGTGTTTGTGTACATACAGCTCTCGATCTCCAGTGAGCACGTCTGCGTGTCCAGGGGGAATCGGCTCAGGTCCATGTTACACATGGCAGTGACGGTCACTCTGCAACAACACACAGACATCCAGCGTTAGTCCAGACAGGACTCAGGACGTCCAGTGGCATCGGACGTGGACGGGAACGGACCAGTATCACAGTTTTGTTATTATCTACTGTTATTTATTCTGCTTGATCTGTTGTGTTTCTAGTCTGGTCTCGATGGACAGGAGTTTGCCCACAACAAAACCAGATGGCTAACTCATAAACTGTCACATAACTGTCAATATGCAGATCCATTTTAATGAAACGGTCCTGATTGAAATCAGTAGTTAAAATTTTTAACATTGTTGGTTTTATGTGTTTTACTATTTTCTTCTTCAAAGAAACAGATGTACAGTATAGGCCTGAAAATACTTCAAGAGCAAACTGTTGTGACGTTATTTCAAACAAAAACAGTGGAGTTTAAAACAGCTTGTCAAATAGCCTGGAAATCCAGATCCGAAAGATTAAGTGTCTGGCATCGAGTATGTAAATCGCCCAGCTCGAGGGGCGGCACCAAGCATGCGTTTGAAAATCTCACTGCAAGCAATTGGATAACACTACGACCAATCACAACAATACGCCCCATACGCTTGGCTACCAGCGGAGCTAACTGCTAGATTAGACTCTCGCCATCCTTCTTGCAAAGGAGCGACGTCTTCTGTTCCTCTTTTAGATAAAAAGCCAAGTCTAGCTCATTCATTGTAGCGGCCGAAGCCGTTTCAAACAACTGGTGTTCATCCATAGCCATCTTGTAATGTTTACTAATGACTTGGACGTCGCAGCGCTGTCGTCATCTCGCCTCTGGCCCGCCTCTATCAGATAACCCGATGTGATTGGTGCATTCGGACACAAGGGTATAGTTAATGAGCATCACTACTCAATGCCAAAGGGAACTCGCTGAGCAAACTCAAATTGTGTTCTCGTGAGAACTCTGGACTTCCAGGGTACTTGTCAAAGTGAACTCTCTGGAAACGTTTGCTCCGGCTGGTAAACACCTCTGAACTCCCATTGGTCGGTGGTGATGATGTAATATGTGGGTGTGGCTCTGAGGCTCCGCCTTCTCTGAGGTGTAAATCTTCTCAGGTTTATTTCTTCTGTTCAGACGCGAGTAAAAACACACCGAGAGCCGCTTTATAGCAGAAACTGAAGCTGAAAGAGACACTGACACTGTCTTCATGTTTAACACTGTAAAGCTGCTGAGTTAAAGCAATCTACTGTATAAAGTGCTGGATAAACAAACGTGACTGTAGATCTGAATCTCAGATGCTTCAAACATCCACATCTCTATGATCAGATGCTTTCTGAACTGCTGCTTTCTCTGTTTATTCTGTTATTGAGAGGAAAGTGCAGCACATATTTACATATTCATCTAATCGCCGAGTATATCACTGCAAATGTATTTCAAACTCTTTTCACCATGAGTACATCAGGCCTTTAATGTTGCATTTTAAGAGTTCTATAGCAATCTATTTTGTATTGTTTATGGTGTTTGCACATTGAATAGTTTGAGCTGTATTCGCAGTTGTCATAGGATTGTCATTTTCCAAATGCCTATTTGTAATTTTGGGATATCACATAAAAAAATGCTGAATGGAAACTTCAAAATGTGCATAAAAAAACTATGTGCACAATTAAGGCGGATTATTTTTTATTCGACAAGAAGACATATAAACTACGATGGAAACACATTTACTGAATAAATCCCTAAAGATGACCTCATGCGACTTTGCCCCAGCAGAGGCTGTGATTGGATAACTGGAGTAACCGGCGGACCAATGGCATCGCAGCATCTTTATTCTCAAATGTTTAATGCTGTATTCTAGTTAACTTCATGAATGAGGTGATTAGCGAGGCTCATTAACATCTGGTGTCTGACAGGTTACCTCAGACTGTAGAGGACGTTGCCGTCTGGTTGCACTCGTAACATCACGTTGTCCGTGGTTGTGTCGTGGATGAAGGATCTTTTGGAGTGGACGAAGAACATGTCGGGCACCCAGATCTTCTTCACCAGCCGGCTGTCGAACGTCATGCTCTGGTTGTTGGTGCTCGGGAAGGACAAGCGCTCGTCTTTCCAGTAATGCCTCAAATACAGTGTCATCGTAAAGTCCTGATGGGAAACGTCAGATGTTAAACATACTGAGATATTAACACAGAGTAGAAAACATCTGAACCCGTTCAAGTGAGGCGTGGGACGATCTTACATACGACACAAAGCAATGGATACTGACATTAGTGTTACGTTTAATGATTAAAGGGTTAGTTCACCCCAAAATGTAAACTCTGTCAGTAATTACTCACACTCATGTTGTTCCAACCCCGTAAGACCTTCGTTCATCTTCGGAACACAAATTAAGATATTTTTGATGAAATCTGAGAGCTGGATCACTCCTTCATACTAGTCCATAGGCTTCTTCAGGGATTGAACTTGCCGGCCTCGAAAAGTTATGAAAGACATTGTTAAAATAGTCCAAGTGACTACAGTGGCTCAATCTAAAGTATATCATGCGACGAGAATACTTTTTGTGCGCAAAAAAACAAAAATAACGATTTTATTTCAACTATTCATTTCCTTCTCTGTGGGCCTCGAGTCAGTTCACTAGTGTAATAGCGTAAGCTTCTGTTGTTGTACGTCACACGCATCACACACATGACCAGCGTCGGCCAATAGTGAGCCTACGTGTGACGTAGCTCTACACAATTACACTAGTTTAACTGACTCGAGGCCCAAAGAGAAGGAAATGAATAGTTGAAATAAAGTCGTTATTTAGGGCCCAAGCCTTGAAAAGGCGAAGGCCCTATTGTTTTCCTAAGGATTATTATTATTAGGGCCCAAGCCTTGAAAAGGCGAAGGCCCTATTGTTTTCCTTAGGATTATTATTATTAGGGCCCAAGCCTTGAAAAGGCGAAGGCCCTATTGTTTTCCTTAGGATTATTATTATTATTAGGGCCCAAGCCTTGAAAAGGCGAAGGCCCTATTGTTTTCCTAAGGATTATTATTAGGGCCCAAGCCTTGAAAAGGCGAAGGCCCTATTGTTTTCCTTAGGATTATTAGGGCCCAAGCCTTGAAAAGGCGAAGGCCCTATTGTTTTCCTTAGGATTATTATTATTATTATTATTATTATTATTATTATTTTATCGACTATTCGGGCACTTTTGGGGCTCTTAACGTGCACGAAAACTCTTGAAACTTTGCACACTGGTCAGAACCCGCGGCCATCAGGGCCGGGCTGAAGCTGGTACCCGGGCGTGGCAGGGGGGCTCGACAGCGCCCCCTGGAACGGGGTCCGAAAACTTGGTCCATAAATCAAACACGCTTCCATGTAATAATATGAAACTCGGTACACATATAGATCTCATCGGTTCATATATCCTTTGTACTTTTACTTTTTACCCCAGCCCAACAGGAAGTCGGCTATTATGGTTTGTTTGGAAGCGTATGCCCCTGGAATTCGATATACTCCTCCTAGAGAATTCAACCAATCGCAAGGAAACTCGGTCAGCATGATGTCAAGACATTGAGGATGAAAAATTGCCAGGGGATTTTTCATATCTCGAACGGTTTGGCCGTGGCGAGGAAACAAATTTATGGCGAATAATGGAAACAGGAAGTGTGTTATAACTTCTGCATACATTAACTGATCTTGATGAAACTTCAACAGTATGTTCGCTGTAAGAGGCCGATCACATGGATGTGACTATTGTGAGTCAAAGTTATAGCGCCACCAACTGGCAGCAGGAAGTGTGTCACTTTCTAAATGCTTTTGACAAAAGTGGGGGGGTTAGTTTTATCTACAGTTACAAAACTCAGCGTGTATATTCTTCTCCTCAAGCCAAACAACTTTCTAATTTAAAGTAATTAGCTCCGACCCTCAGAAAGTCAGATATTGTGGTTTGAATAGGGTCATTTTCTCTCTCTCTCTCTCTGAGCCAATATGGCAAGCCGCTTTAACATTTAATCATTTTAACCTACTAGTCTCTATTTTCATGCTACTAGTACTTATTTTTAGATACTAGTATCTATTCCATTAAGTACTGGTACTTATTCATTAGCGACTAGTGCTTATTCTTTAGTACTAGTGCCTATTCTTTAGATACTAGTGCTTATTCTTTAGATATTCTTTTGAATACGTATTAGTAGCTAATGAATAAGTACTGGTATCTATTTAATAGGTACTAGTATCTAATGACTTAGTACTAGTATTTATTGAATAAATACTAGTATCTATTAATAGGTACTAGTATCTAAAAGGTCATTTTCTCTTTCTCTCTCTCTGAGCCAATATGGCAAGCCGTTTTAACATTTAATCATTTTAACCTACTAGTCTCTATTTTCATGCTACAAGTACTTATTTTTTAGATACTAGTATCTATTCCATTAAGTACTAGTACTTATTCATTAGCGACTAGTGCTTATTCTGTTTAGAATATTCAAAGTGCTTATTCAATTTTTTTGCTTATTTATATTTTCAGAGCAGAAAATCCGATTTTTCTGCTTATTCAATATTGCATCTAAAAATGTAAGTGACTTGACGTGTGTGTGTGTGTGTGTGTGTGTGTGAGAGAGAGAGATGTGTCTGTTACAGTGACAAGAGTTTAACCCTTTAAGGCCTTGTCTTTTTGGATATATATTTTTTTTATTAAAAAAAATGTGCATACAACCCATATATTTTAAATTTATTGTTTGCTTTAAATTAAATTAAGATTGTATGTTTGGTAATTGAACCTAAATAAATTTTTAATTAATGTGCTATATTTCAGATCAATATATTTGTTTTCCTTCATTTTAATCAACACTAACTTTATTCTCATCTGAATTATAAAGAATTTATTTCTGTATAAAATAAAAAATCCCGAATAATCCAGACCAACCAGAGCGCACTATTTCTACAACATCATCAGTGCTGAAGCGAAACTACCAGAGCCGTTCGGCAGATAGCAAGCAGATATTTTGTGTCACGTCGTGCACAATAACCCTAAAGGCACCAGGGTGGCGGTGCCACCGGCTTTATATATATATATATATATATATATATATATATATATATATATATATATATAAATATAGCTGCGAGCAGCGATGAAGGGCCCAAGCCGGCGGCACCGCCACCCTGGTGCCTTTAGGTAACTAAAGGCACCGGGGTTGCGGTGCCACCGGCTTGGGCCCGTAATCGCTGCTCGCAGCTATATTTTTTTTTTTTTTTCTCCTCTTTTATTTTTCTTACGACTATTCGGGCACTTTTGGGGCTCTTAACGTGCACGAAAACTCTTGAAACTTTGCACACGGGTCAGAACCCGCGGCCATCAGGGTCGGGGTGAAGATGGTACCCGGGCGTGGCAGGGGGGCTCGACAGCGCCCCCTGGAATGGGCTCCGAAAACTTGGTCCATAAATCAAACACGCTTGTATGTAAGAATATGAAACTCGGTACACATATAGATCTCATCGGTTCATATATACTTCATGCTCTTACTTTTTACCCCAGCCCAACAGGAAGTCGGCTATTTAGGGTTGTTTGTAAAACGCATGCAATGGAATTTAAAGTACTTCTCCTAGAGAATTCAAAGAAATGCCACGAAACTCGGTCAGCATGAACTCAAGACATTGAGGATGAAAAATTGCGAGGGGATTTTTGATATCTCGAACGGTTTGGCCGTGGCGAGGAAACGAAATTATGGCGAGAAACGTGAAACAGGAAGTGTGTTATAACTTCTACATACATTAACTGATCTTGATGAAACTTCAGCAGTGTGTTCGCTGTAAGAGGCCGATCACATGGATGTGACTTTTGTGAGTCAAAGTTATAGCGCCACCAACTGGCAGCAGGAAGTGTGTCACTTTCAAAATGCTTTGAAAGCACCCTCTTATTTTTACCCGATTTGCTTCAAACTTCACTACTATAATGTAAACATACGCCAGATGTAGACCTGTGAATGGATTCTTGATATCTTTGATACTGTTACCGTGGCAACACATCAAACTTCAAAATTCTTTTTTGAGGCTTTTGAGACTCTTAGCATGCTTGAAATTGCATGAAACTCGACAGACATGTCACATATATTAGCCAGTAGACATGTGCAAAGTTTCAGGAACGGGCGTGGTGTAGGGACTCAGTAGCGCCACCTTTTGACAAAAGTGAGAGGGTTAGTTTCATAGTTTTACCTGCAATCTTAAAACTCGGTAGGCATATTGTTCAGATCAAGCCGGACAACTTTCTAATTTACAGATTTTGGTTCCGAACAACAGGAAGTCAGATATTTTGGTTTGAATGGGATGTTTTGGAGTAATCTCTGTCACTCTCTCCCTCTCTCTGCATACCTCTGTGTCTGTGGGGGGAGGGGGATGTGTCTGTTTGAGTGACAAAGCTTTTAATTATTGTTGATCAAGGTTTTGGGGGCTTTTGGGGCCCTTAACATCCTCTAAAACTCTTGAAACTTTGCACACGGGTCAGAACCCGTGGCCATCAGGGCCGGACTGAAGCTGGTACCCGGGCGTGGCAGGGCGGACCGACAGCGCCCCCTGGACTGGGATTCGAACACTTGTCCATAAATCAAAGACACTTGCATGTAATAATATGAAACTCGGTACACTTATAGATCTCATTGGGTTGAACAACTTTCGTGCTCTAAGTTTTACGACATCCCAACAGGAAGCCGGCTATCATGGTTTGTTTGGAAACGCATACCCCTGAAATTCTATTTAATTCTCCTTGGGAATTGATCGGATTTCAAGCAAACTCGGTCAGCATGACGTCAAGACATTGATGATGCTAAATTCCGGAGGGATTTTTGATATCTCGAACGGTTTGGCCGTGGCGAGGAAATTAATTTTATGACTAAAAAAGGACACATAAAGTGTGTTATAACTTTGCTCGTTTTACCTACAGTTACAAAACTTGCCACACATATTGTTCTCATCAAGCCAATCGACTTTCTAATTTAAAGTCATTAGCTCAGAGCAACAGAAAGTCAGATATTGTAGTTTGAATGGATTTCTTGTCCCCCTGCCATTCTGTTTGTGTGTGTGTGTGTGTGTCTGTGGGGGGAAGGGGGAAGGGGGAAGGGGCTCTTTGAGTGATAGTTTAGTTTAAACACCAACTCATACATAGGGC